CACGCAGGTGCATGGAGGTAGCTGAGGGACCTGTGGCAGCTCCCTTCTTAATCTGTGTGTCCCTTCTTCAATGTGGCAGCAGGGACAGTGTCTCCGGCCTGTGGTCTGAGGATTCTAGACCTGTTTGCCTGGCCATGCACTGGCTGAGGGACTCATCCACCCAGCCCGAGGGCTGAGGGGCAGCCTGCCCTGTCCTCAGGCAGCCTGGCCTTCTAGGGGGCTGGGGGTGAGCCCCAGGTAGAGCTGCAGGTACCGGCAGGTGGAAGGCAGGAGGGCACGGGGCAGGGAGAGACGGCAGCTGCTGGAGCTGCCTGTCGTGATCCAGCACGGGCTGCACCCCTTCCTCCAGCAGCAACTGGCCTGGGGTGGGGGCTAGGGGCCCTCCCTCCTCCACTCTCACAACTGCCCATCCTGCTTGTTGGCCAGCACCGGCAGGTGCAAGCCCAGTGCTTGAATGAGTTTCGGGAGGAGGCAGTGAACCCGTGGCCGAGGGTGAGCACACGATCCAGGCCAGGTCTAAGCTAAGGAGCCAATCTCTGGACACCTCAGTGACCTGAGCTGGAAACTTCCCCGGCTTCACCAGCGCGGGCTGGGTTTGGTGTCTCTTGCACTTGGAAGGGTCCGGGCCAGTACACAGCCAACAGTTACTGAGCCTTATCCACAAGTGACCTTGCATTCGGCGCACTCAGGAGCTAACCACGCCATCTCGTTCCCTGAGTACCAGGATCTTCAAAAAGCTCATGGAAAATGCACATTCCTTTTTTTTTTTTTTTTTAACAAAAATAAGAAGACCCTTTCACTTTTTTTTTTTTTTTTTTTTTGACAGGCAGAGTGGACAGTGAGAGAGAGAGACAGAGAGAGAAAGGTCTTCCTTTTTGCCGTTGGTTCACCCTCCAATGGCCGCCGCTGCAGCCGGCGCACCGTGCTGATCCGATGGCAGGAGCCAGGATCCAGGTGCTTTTCCTGGTCTCCCATGGGGTGCAGGGCCCAAGCACCTGGGCCATCCTCCACTGCACTCCCTGGCCACAGCAGAGAGCTGGCCTGGAAGAGGGGCAACCGGGACAGAATCCGGCGCCCCGACCGGGACTAGAACCCGGTGTGCCGGCGCCGCAAGGTAGAGGATTAGCCTATTGAGCCACGGCGCCGGCCCTCCCTTTCACTTTTTTATATGCGACAGGGAGACTGCACTCCCAACCCTAAATGCCTGCAACAGCCAGGCTGGGCCGGGTTGAGGTCAGGAGCCAGGAATTCCACCCAGGTCTCCCTCATGGCTGCCAGGGACTCAAAACGCTTGAGACACCACTGCTGCCTCCCCGGGTCTGCATTAACAGGAAACTGGAATCAGAAGCCGGGGCCAGGAATGAAATCCAGCCACTCTGATTTGGGGTGGAGGCTTAGCCACTAGGCCAACTGCCTGCTCCCAACATTATCTCTTTACAACTTATTTAAGAGGCAGAGAGAGCGCACATGAGACAGCACACTCGTCGGTTTCTCAAATGCTCAGAAGCCTGGAACTCCTTCCGGGTCTCTCACGTGGGTGGCAGGGCCCCGAGTTCTCGTGCCATCACTGCCTCTTTGCCAGGGTGCGTGTTAACAGGAAGCTGGAATCCGGAGTGGAGCTGGGTCTGGAACTCAAGTGCCCCAAGATGGGACTGAGTGTCCCAACCGGAGACTTCACCATTGCACCAAGCACCTGCCTCCTCACGTTCCTTTAATTCTCATTTCCCCACAACCTCGAGGCACCCTCACCCTGAAGCCACTTCATCTTTCTCTCTTCCCGCTCACCCACCGTGGACCCAAACTTTACTGTGTGGGCAGAGTGCTGAGTCAGGGGGCCCGGTTCTCCCTCCCCCTCCTCGCCAGCCGGGGAGGGCAGCCAGCGGTCCCTTCGTCTTCCCCTGCTGAGTGGTAAGGCTGGACTCCCGGACCTCAGAGGTCTTCAGCCAGCCAGCCAGCCAGCCCGGGCCCAAGGCCATCCCTAGCCCATGCCTTCCTGAAATCCTGGCTCACCGTGTGGGCCAAAGTTAACACCAGACAGGAGCTTGCAGAGAGTAGAGCCTGGAAGCGCCCCCCACCCACTCCCCCACCCCTTTAAAATTCTGGAAGGACAAGGGGAGAGCTCCCTGAATTGTGACCCCCAGACCAAGTCCCAGGCCCCCGATTTCATCAAACAACTTGGAGTCCCTGGTGGTGTCCTTTCCCCTGGCATAGGGGTTTGGGTTACAAGTGTCCTAAATCCTAAGTTGAGCTGGAGGAGGGAAAAGTGTCACGGGGAGCAGGGAGACAATTCATCTCACGCCCAGGCTGGCACTTTGTGGCTGGGGTTCGTCTCCACGGTGGGCATCACTGCCGCCTTCTCAACGCCCAGCTTGCTGGCTTTGCCGTCCGCACTAGCAGATGTAGGCACTAAGTCCCTGAGTTGCTGTCCAGCCCACAAACTGACTTTTAAGCTGTTTCTTCAATGCTGACTCATATTGTTTTCTTTTTTTTTTTTTTTAATTTATTTTAAAGACAGGGGATGGGGTGGGGAGGGAGAGACTCTCCCATCCACTGGTTCACTCCCCAGATGTTTGCAACAGTTGGAATGGAACCAGAGGCTGGGAACTCAATCTGGGTGTCCCATGAGGGTGGCAGGGACCCAAGTACTTGAGCCATCACCTGCCGCCTCCCAGGATGCACATCTGTAGGAAGCTGGAATTGGGAGCGGAGCTGGGCCTCACACCCAGGCACCCTGGCATGCGATGCAGGCAGCCCGAGCAGCACCCCAATTGCTAGGCCCGATGCTCACCCCCACACTGAGCTTGGAATCTTCTTGGTCTCTTTCCATGGGCTGCTCCCACACGGTCCCACCTTGGAGCTGAGTTTCAGACCCGGTTTCAGGGTCTCACATTCAATCCTGTGAGACGTCAACCTTACGAAGACAACGTGGGCACCAACAGTTTCCGAGTCTCCTCCCCCTGGCCCTCGGTTAGCCAGTCCCAGAGCCCAAGGCAACCTCCAGCACACTTCCTCTCCCGCCCCACCACCACCACCTTGGTACTCACCAGAAAGATACAGTCTGCACCCTCTCAGCACCATTAACACAGTCACTGCTTGTGGTGGGGCGGAGCAGGAAGGGGGGAGTTGGGGGAGAAGGAAACACCTGTGCGTTGTCATTCAAAGCCAGCAGGGACTCTGGGCACAGGCCACCTCAACTGCGGGACTCGCCATCCTACCCATTTTTCCCATCATTCATTCCCACCAGCATTCAAAGAGATGCCACTTGTCTGAACTCCATGTTTATTTTCATCTTTTGAAAGATAGAGCGGAGACCTCCCACCCGCAGGTTCATTCCCTAAATGCAACAGCCAGGGCTGGGCCAGGCCAAAGCCAGGAGCCTTTGAACTCCATCCGGGTCTCCCTCCTGGGTAGCAGAGCAAGCCCTGAGCCATCATCTCGCGTCTCCTTGTATGTGCGTTGGCAGGAAGCAGCAGTGCCCACACTCCAATGTGGGATGCAGGTTTCCCAACCAGTGGTGTGTACCATGCCTGCCTCCGAGACAGCTTTATGTAGCTCCTTCCATAGAGCCTGGCATCCAACCCCGGAGACAGCTACGCAAGCAGAGCCAAGCCCTCACGGAACCGGTGTTCGCAAGCCATTGTCTGCTTATTGTTTGAAAAATGCATTTGCGTGACAGAGTTTCCATCTGCTGGTTCACACCCCAAATGCCTGCCGTGGTCCAGGGCTGAGCCAGAGCCAAAGCTGGGAGCCAGGAACTGGATCTGGGTCTCCCACGTGGGTGGGAAGATCCAGTGACTTGAGCCACCACTGCTGCCTCCCAGGGGCAGTAAGACAATCTGTCATGTATTAGCTTCCATTTCATTCAGTCTGAAATGTAACTGAAATTAGACATGTGATTTTAATTTTGGAGGTGTAAGGAAACCGATTGTTAGTGAATTACATTAGATTACTCAAGGAATTATCTTCAGTCGAGTCATGCTGGGCAAGACTTCACTGATTGGATTTGATTATGCCTGAGTCAGGAGTTCGATGTCCTGGGAAGACTTATTAAAACTTGTCAATATGATGTAAATAGGCTTAAAGACATTCAATGAAGTTTGCAAACAGGGTTAACTGTGCCTGGGGAATTTAATCTGCTACATGTATGAATGATGAAAGGAAAAGCCAGAGTGTTAACTTTACAGGAAAAAAAACACGTTATCAACACAAGAGGTGCACAAGACCTTAAAAGCTTAAGAATCTAGGTTTTTGAAATTTCCTCCCTTGGCCAGGTGCCGTGGTGCAGGCTAAGCCACAGCCTGGGATGCTCACAGCCCTCATGACAGCGCCTGAGGCCGCGTCCTACCTCTACTTCCAATCCAGCCTTTTGCTAGTGGACGTGGGAGGCACCAGCTGCAGGCCCCAGTCCTTGACTTCCCACTACCCTGCGGGAGACACAGTGGAGCTCCTGGGTCCTAGCTTCGGCCTGGCCCAGCCTCAGCTGTTACACACATTTGGGAAATGAATCAGCAGACGGAAGACCTCTGTCGCTTTTAAATAAATGAAACAAACATACTCGTAGCGGGCAATAACGACGAGTTCCCTGGTCAGAGCCCATGTTGAAAAAGCGCCTCCTCACACCTCCGAGTGGACTTCAAAAGTGAGCAGACAAGGACGCTGCTATAGTTTTCAAAGGATCTGGCTCCTTGATTCAGGAATTTAAACCCAGATGGCTGGACAAGTGATCTAGCAACACATGCACCAATGTGCCTCTTGACAGGAGTTCCCCCGACCCCTACCCCCTCCCACACCAAGGCTGGTGTGAGAGCGGAGAAATGAATACAGCAGATGGAACAGAGAGAAGAGAACAAATCAGTAAAAAGGATGAAACATAACTTTGTGCTTGGTTATTTTCCTATGTCACAACAAAACAAAACATTTCGGTGCAAATAGTTAATTTTTCCTCTTTTCCATTGAAGTCTGGTGGAGAAAAAATACTTTTTCTATAATAAAATATGTAGTTTTTTTGTTTTTTGGCTTTTTTTTTTACTTTTTTTAACATAATTTTTTTTCTTTTTTTTCTTTTTTTTTTCTTTTTTGCAGAAAATAATTTTGTAAACTGTCACTTTGTGGGCTGGGAGGCTTGGTGCCACGTGGGTCCCGGCTCACACGGTCGGTCGGAGGCTGGGAGGCGACACCATGCCCTGGGCAGGGGATGGGGGGCAGCGGCGGCGCGGGCGAGGGCGGGGCGAGGGCGGCGGGGCGGGCGGGAGAGGGCGGATCAGAGGTCGCTCTCCCCATACAGCGCCGTGGAGAAGGACATGTAGTCCAGGGCACCGGGCACGGCATCAGGGCCCGTGTAGGGGGCCATGCGTGCGATGCAGTACTCGGCCTGGTCGGGCGGCAGCTCGCGGCGCAGCTCATCCACCGTGATGTAGTTCTGTGGAGACAGAGCGGTCAAGGCGGTAGCAAGAACCCGGCTTGTCCTGCAAGAAGCCCCGCCCACCCCCTTTTGGGCTCCCACGTCGTCCTCCTGAGCTTAAGAGGATTCTTTGAGCAGTTCTTGGGGAAAGATGGAATTAAAAGCATGAGTTCATTTTGGTGCAAGAATTTTTTTAAATCATAATACATGCAAAGTGTATATTATGAAAAAAAATTGCATGATTTCAAAAATTTTCACACCAAAATAACTGCTACTTTTAATTCTGTTTTCCACAACCTGTTGGAAGCATGCACTTATGTACAGACAGACGCATCCACACGCATGTGAAAATGCACATATATGAGGGAGCACCTCAAACTTGGTGAAAATTTGGCATTGTCTTTCAATTCCACTTCCTGTGAACTTCCGGAGCCCCGTTATTTCTAAGTGATCTACATGTAAAAATCATCTCATGTTTCCACTTCACTGCCACTTTTAGCCTCTTCCCGAGCTGCTTCCACGTGCTCATCACACCCACAGGTGTCCCGTGTCCCACCATCCCGCCACGCGCTCGGCAGTATCTGGTGCGACACTCACTCAGCTGGGCCCTCCGGAGGCTAAGGCCAGAGAATCTAGTTCTGTGGACCCTCAGGAGGTGACACCGAGCATCCTGGTTTGGGCATCACTGCCACAAACAGCATCCAAATTCTGGCTGTGTTGTCCCAGCCCGTGTGGACCCTGTCCCACCCCAGCCAGTTCCCATGCCAGGTCTCCGCCTGCCCCTCCCCCTGGGGCTCACTCATGACAGGTGTACTGAAAGCTGCTTCTTTTAGGAGCTGGAAGGTCCAGGGGAGCTCACGCAGGGGCTCTGACCCCCGGGCTATCCCCCAGCCCCATGTCCCGCCTCTACCAGAGTCCCTGGGAACAGGTGGGAGGGACCAGGCCCCTTTCTGGAGCTGTCTTCCTCCTCTACAAAGCCAGTCACTTCTGAGGGTCCTCCCAGCTCCAAGAGACTGCAGCTAATTGGGGTGTCCCTGAGCTTTAGGGACCTCGGCAGTTTCCGCCCTAATTCCCTTACAGATTGAGATCAGTCTCATAAACGACACTCCCTATTGGTTTTGGCTTCTTACTAAGTCTTTGCAGCTCTGAATAAAGGGCAGCGTAGGATATTCTGTGTTTTTTACAGAAAGGCAATCTGCCCCCCAACACCCCATCCTCCCCTCCCCCAGTTTATTCTGGATCCTACTTGAGTCCTTTCTTAACACTACAGGGAACTGGGCCTCCTACGAATCCCTCAGGTGCCTGTGCCAGAGATGGCTGTGGATCTGAGTGACAACCAGGTGCACCCGTCGGCTCCCAGCCTGGGCCCCGGCTTCCCGAGACGGCGCCATCTGCATCCTCCCCTCCCACTCCTCCCCGCCAGGTAGGAGACTGCAGAGTACCCAGGAGATCTGGAAACTGGCAGTGGCCCACTGCTCAGGGTATAAAAATGAGAGAGCCCTGGGTGTCTCCTGCTCCCCAGCTGTAATCCATGCCTGAGCCCAGGAGGATTTCAGGGCTTCTCAGATGGACTTTCCAGCGTCCAACCTCAGACCCCACAGACCCCACAGCTGCGCCCCTGCCACATCACCACCAGGAGGAGCCCTTCCCCGGAGGTGGTGTCCTGGCAGAGACCCCTTCAGCCTGACACCTGACCTGAGCCTGAGGCACTGCGGAAACATGGACGACCACCAGAGGCCCTCTGGGAGCCGGGAAGCTCAGCACCAAGCCGCAGGGACCCACCTTGTCCCCAGCCAGAATCTTGAAAGAAGCCATGACTTGGTCCGCCGTATCGGTGTCTGCCGTCTCCCGGGACATGAAGTCGATGAAGGCCTGGAAGGTCACTACCCCGAGGCGGTTGGGGTCCACGATGCTCATGATGCGGGCAAATTCTGCCTCTCCCTGGAGGGAACAGCCAGCCCCCGGCCCTGTGAGCCCCGGCCTGCCTGAGTTAGCTCTGACAGACTCGAGCCTCAGAGGCCTCAGAGTAGGCTGTGACGGAATGAGGCCCAGCAGCCCCTTGACCTAACCTAGACTGTCCCGAGGGCATGACAGGGACACAGCACTCCAGAGTGGGGACCCCCAGCCCTACAGAGGCCTGAGCCCCTGCTGGACAGACAATGCAGATGTTAATGCTGCATGCCAGGCATGACTTCACTGCCTTATATACACTCATTCATTCCGTCCTCACAACTACATGATCTGCATGGTATCGATGGGGCAGGTGCCTCACCCACGGCTGCCCAGCCAGAAGCGGAGCTGGGGTCTCCACAGTCTGCTCCCTCCCCTCCATGCAGTGTTTCCTATGTGCCAGCCATGCACAGAGTTCCCCCAAGCCCCTTCACTGAACCCTGACAACCAGGCTGCAGGCTGGGGCGCAGAGCTGGGATTTGCTCCCAGGGTCACTGCGTCCAGCCCAGCCCTTCCCGGGCTGTGGTTTGCAGTCCCTGACTGTGCAGTGAAGCCCCTGCCCTGCTCACGGCGGTTGGGTGGGTGGGTGGGGCCCAGGACAGGGCCATCCCAGAGTGGAGGCAGAATGGCAATGTCTGTGCCTCTTATGGGAGGAACAGCTGAGCCCGCACCCGGCATATCCAAACCACCAACCTGGGTCAGCCCAGCACCCGCAGTGGAAGCAAAGATGTGCCGCCTTCACACTCAGTGCCAGAGGCTGAGCAGGCAGAGCCGGAGGCGACTCGGGGCCAGGGCCAGGCCTGGCTTTAGGTGCCATCCTCCCCCAGGCCCAGAGGCTCGAGGCTCCTCCCAGGAGGGCAGCCCCCAGCCTGTGGGACACGGGCCTGGCCCTGCCAGGCCGTGGCCTCTTCAGCCAGCCAGCCAGCGCAGGGCGAGGCCTGGCGGACACAGGGCGGGGTTTACATTACCATGTTGTAACCCATGGAGATCAGGCAGGCGCGGAAATCATCCGTGTCCATCATGCCTGTCTTCTTCTGTGGGGTCAGAGGGGGGGACCGGCGCGGGCCAGGAGGACAGGGCACAGACAGGACCACAGGAGGAGGAGACACACAGACAGGGCCGGGGAGACGTCCCCAGGCAGGAGGAAGACACGGGGGAGGCACACGGCCATCCACAGGGAGAAGGACGGTGGGCACCCAGCAGGTTCCCACGGAAGACGACCGAGGGAGGAGGAGCCCAACACGGGGCGGGCAGGGACAGGAGGAGAGGACGAGAGCCCCACGGCCCACAGGAAGGGGGACAGCGAGATGTGGACAGACAGAGAAGAGAAAAAGGAGAAACGCGTTATTTCTCGCCCCCGAGGCCACCCCTGAGCGTGCTCCATGCAGGAGGTGAGTACCTGGGGGTCGTTGCCAATATCATAGCCCAAGCTGATGAGGCAGGCTTTGAACTCCTCGGGACCCAGCGTGCCGGAGTGATCCTGGGGCCGCGGTGCGCCAGGCAGTGAGCCATGCGGTGCCAGGGAGGTGAGGCCGTGAGGGGGCGGGGGTGGGCCATGCCCGGTGGAGGGAGGCGTGTGTGGGAAACATGGGAGGAGGCATGCGGATGGAGGGGTGGGGGGGTGGAGGGCGAGGGGGAGGGGAAATAAAACGCACACGGTTAGACACACGGGCCGGGCTCTCAGGGTGCCCTGCCCCGCACTCGCAGCCCTGCTCCGGGGAAGCAGGGCCGGCGGGAGCAAGATGAGCCACGCAGGTGAGAAGCTCCGCCCACAAGTGCCCAGGCCACACCCTGGTGTCCCCTTGAGGGCTTCCCCCACCCAGGTGCCTGGAGGGCGGTGAAGCAGGCGAGGGTGGTGGGCAGCACCTGACCCCATGCACCCCCTCCCCACCAAGCCCCAGGGCCCTGGGAAGGGGTGGCCAACTGAACATGGGACCTGTCCTGGTGCTGGGATGGGGACCCAGAACGGAGGACAGTGACAGCCCAGGGACCTCTCCTCTGCCCCTGTGTCTCCCGAGGGCAGAGGTGAGGGACAGTCCCCACAGCTAGGGGGCAGCAGGCCCTCACTCCTGAGGGCTGAGTGGTCCAGGTGGGAGAGCAAGCGTGAGGTTCAAAGGTGAGGGTCAAAGGCCCTTCCTCCACCTGCTCTCTCCAGAGAGGACCAGGGCATCAGGACAGGCTGCCTCGTGGTACACGCTGGGTACTTCCTCCCACTGCCCCCTCTCTTCCTTGCCCAAGAACTGGGCCCTGCATGGTGGCCCATGTCCAGGGCTGTGCCCTCCAGGACCCTGGGGCAGGGGCAGGGGCCAGGGCTGGGGCTGCTGTCGGCCAGCACAGGGTGGGCTCTCACCCGATCGAAGTGGTTGAAGGAGGCCCGGAACTCGTTCATCTGCTCCTGGCTGATGCCTTTGGCGTCGCGGGTCAGGATCTGGTTCTCCACCTCATTGATGGTTCTGGCAATGGTGGTGAGCAGCTGCTCCCAGCCCACACGGATGTGCTGGGGGGCGGGCGAGGGGGCCGGTCAGCCGAGGGCTCCCGGGCCTGGGCTCCCGGCTGCCCCCAGCTCTTTCTGTCCCTGGCCACAGAAATGGCCAAAGCGGTCAAACTCAGGCTGGATTTTCGGGGCCACCAGAGGGAGGAGACCAAGGCAGGACAGAGGACACTAGATGATGAAAGGGACGGCAGAGACCAGGACTTGCCGAGGTCAGGAAGGGACAAAAAAGTGGGTGAGTCCCTTACTCCACAACCACACGTGGCCACGCACAACTGCACGTTCACAGCACGCACAGCGGGGCACCACCTATGAGACAGCGGCCCATCACCGAGCGACCACGCCGCCGCCCGGGTCTGCGCCAGGACACCTCTGTCAACCCGCTCCCTGGGGTACCTGGAAGGCACTGAAGACTGAGCTCTGGGGGTGAAAAAGGACTGAGTCTCTCCTCCGCCTGTGCCCCGTTTCCCTGGGAGATGGCTCGCCTCCCTCCTCAGCCCCCCGCCTCAGCTCAGGAGGGGAGAACAGACAGGGGGTGGGGGCACAGGATCCCTCCCGGAGAAGCGAGGCTGGCCGCCCACCTCCATGGTGTAGTTGGTGTGCTTGTTGTCGAAGATGAGCGCCTCCTGGATGAGCTGGTGGTCGCCCTCCAGCTGGTCGATCTTGGGCTTGTAGTTGACGATGCTCTTCTCGTACTGCCGCAGGTGGCTGAGCTGGTCCTCCAGGGTCCCGTGCATCTCGATGGAGATCCTTCCGATCTCCTGCTCGGCGGGCGGAGGCGCCTTGTCAGACCCCCGCACTCTGCACCCGCGGGGGGCACCACGGGCCCCCACGGTCACGGCTAACCCCCTAGAGCATTCTCCCTTCCTATGCCAGCCCTAGGGAGACCGTGACTGGTCATTAATAAGGCACCCTTGGTACGGAAACAGGTGTGTAGCAGTGTTATCACGGCACGCAACACCTCCTGTCTCTTAGCAGTTAGCCTCGGTAAGAGGAGGCAGGGTCGGCCGCTAACTCCCAAGGTCACTCCCTTGCTTGCCATCCAATTGCCCTTCCCAAACACCGTTCCCAACCCTGGTGCATGTCAGGGCCCCTTGCTGTGCCCTCTGAGCCGGGATCCCCACAGCCTCAGCACACCCTGCTTAGCGGCCAGTGGCCAGGTTCTCCCCCTAGGATGTCTGCCTTGGCCCACCCGAATCCCAGCCACCCCGGAGTGCCAGGCCTGGAGTCCGCTGCATTTCTGCCTGCCACTTAACTAGGTGGACAACCTCGTGCTGTGAAAGCACTGTCCATCCATTCAACTCAACCTCACTAACATCTCCTGAGTCTCTATTAGGCACGATATGCCAACGGGGCTTGGGGGTGGGTGGGGGCACACCAGTGTGAGTCTGACGTGGTCTCTCCCCTCAAGGGGCTCAGAGGCCACACTCCTGCCCTGCTCCACTCCTCTACAGCACCCCAATATCCAGCCCACACATTCAGCAAGAAACTATGTTCAGCCAGGGTTCAGCTCTCTTTCTAAGCAGATGGTCCTCTTTGGCCAAGCTCCTGGCTGAGGACAGAAGGGGAGGCCTGGTCAATGAGATAAGCCCAGGCGCTCGAGCCGAAGCAGCCTTCGGGGAGTGGAGCCTTCCACGGAACTGTCCTAGGCACTCCTTAGTCTCGCCCTTGTGTCGGGCTTGGCTGCCGCGTGAGAAAGTGGGACGAAGGTGCCAGGCCTTCCCCACACAGGCCTCTGCACTCCCTGGCCGGCAGCCCGCGGGCCACAGGCTCTGCACCTCAGTCCTCCACGCGTCCTGCAACCCGGCCAGCTGCTCTCGGCTTCCTGGGACGGGACCCACCTCCATCTTGGTCTGGATCCAGGGCCCGATGACGTTGGCCTGCGCCCCAAACTGCTTGCGTAGCCTCTCATTGTGCTGCTGGCGTGCGTGCTCCTCTGTCAGAGCCTGGTCCCGCCGTGGCACCAGCTGCCGCACCTGGGGGGCGGGAACAACCACCAGATTTTGGGGAGGGGCCGGCCGTCTGCCCCATGGACCCTGCTCCGAGAAAACCAAGGGCCCAGGAGTGGGAGGGGCTGGTGAGTAACAGAGTAAGACTGAAGATGTCGACCTGTTCAGAAATTCCCTCTCTGAACAAATATTCAGTGTCCACTGCGTCACAGTTGAGAAAATGAAGCAGACGGAAATCAATGAACAACAAATAATCCCTGCCCACCCCCTCCCACTGGCCAGCAGGGCCCTTCAACTCACATGGTCCCATTTGCCATTGATCTCCTGAGGCGTGATGGTTGTGTAGGGGTTGGTGCCGGCCATGTTGACGTGGTAGGTCTGGACAATCTTGGACACCTCGTTGTGGATGCCCAGGATGGCCAGGCGCTCCTTGTCGGCATCGGGGAGGGTGGCCTTGAACTGCTCGTGGGCTGTGGTCAGTCCCTGGACAGAGATGGGGAAGCCCCAAGGGAGATGAGCAAAGGGAGGCCCAGAGGGGCCAGGGCGGTGGAAGGGCCACAGGAGGCCAGGTCCCACCCCAGCTGGGAGACTGAGGCAAAGCTGACAGCAACCGCCCCAGGATGTTCCGCCCCCATAGTCAGATCACAGACAAGGGGTGCCCGTGTTAGGTGTGCTCCTGGGTGACCACCCCAACACTGCTTCCTCAGCTCTTTGCCAGAACTTTTTTTTTTCTTTTTTTTTGACAGGCAGAGTGGACAGTGAGAGAGAGAGACAGAGAGAAAGGTCTTCCTTTTGCCGTTGGTTCACCCTCCAATGGCCGCCGCAGCCAGTGCGCTGCAGCCAGCACACCACGCTGATCCGAAGCCAGGAGCCAGGTACTTATCCTGGTCTCCCATGGGGTGCAGGGCCCAAGCACTTGGGCCATCCTCCACTGCACTCCCAGGCCACAGCAGAGAGCTGTCCTGGAAGAGGGGCAACCGGGACAGAATCCGGCGCCCCGACCGGGACTAGAACCCAGTGTGCCGGCGCTGCAAGGCGGAGGATTAGCCTAGTGAGCCGCGGCGCTGGCCAGAACGTTTCAATATCCCACCCTGCAGCCATATGGAAGATCAAGGAAGCCATCGACGGGTGTGAAATGAGCGCCAAGATAAACGCTGACTCAGAAGCCAGGGCTCAGGATGCATACGGCATAGTTTTTGTGCAGAAGAAAGAGTGCAGAGAAGGGGTAAATCTGAGCATCTGCTGGTTATGCAGGTTGCGCGGTGGGGGTGGGGTAAGTGGTGGGGAGAGCTTAGTGTACGAGGCAAAGGTCTCAGATCTGTGAAGGCCTTGGGGTGCTCTAGGGCCCAGGGACGGCACACCTGGATCTCCTCGATGGTGTGCACGATGAAGGTGTCCTGCAGGTCCTCCATGGCGCCCTCCATCCAGTTGTTGAAGGGGGCGGCCCGCTTGGCATACTCCAGGTACAGCTGGTCAATGGTCTCCAGCAGCTTCTCCGTGCGCTGGGGGCGCCCGACAGGGTGATCAGCGTAGGACATCCAGAATCACGCCCGCCCCCTGAGAGCCTCCTGCTGACCACCCCCCCCCCCCCCAGGGCTAACACCCAGGGCTAGAAGGGCGCCGGCTCTCCGGGTCTGGAATAGGGATGTCTTCCCCTGGCCTGGCCACCAGACAGTCTGGCCTCTGTGGGTCAGGGGAGTTCTCAATGGCCGGAGTGGGGAGGGCGAGCGCACTGAACTGGGTGAGTGACATGTGGTTAGGGTAGGAGGCACCCCTGCCAGGGCAGAGTCCAAGTCCTGGGCCAGAGGGAAGCTCCCCTAACCAGGCCAGGGTGGGGGATGTGCAGGAAATGTAAGGAGCCCTTCAGCCCAAGCCAAGGGGGCCACGATGCAGGCAGCGGCACGCACAGAGCTGTGGGCGCAGGCCTCGCCCTCCTTCCCGGGCCCTCACCTCCAGAGCTTCCCTCCGCTTCTGGGTTAGGGCCCCCAGATTGTCCCACTGGTCACAGATCTTTTGGCAACGGGAATTGACACTGGGTGAGTCGTAATAGTCCAGCTCACTGGAGAAGAAAGAGACAAGAAACCAGGTGACTTCCGGGGCTGGCGTGCAGGGGCATTGGTGGTGGTGGAAGAGCGAGCGCAGTTCCCTTTGGACGTTCCAGGCACCCTGCACACCCCTGCTCCTCGGCTTCCAGGAGACCACAGAAGGCCCATCCTCCTCTCCAACAGGCCCCCCTGCCCCAACCGAGGCTGAAGGTGATGCCAGCCGTGCCCCCGACACCCAGCGGCCCAGAGGAAGCTCAGAGCTCAGAGTCAAGGCGTGCGTGGTCATCGTCTGGTCCCGCACTGCTCACAGGCGAGGACCAAAGACCCAACAGGAAGCGGGGGCGGGGGGGCGGGGCACGGCCTCCTTCCCCACCACGAGGGCTGTCCTTTGTCTCCCGCAGCCACACCCTTCTGCCCTCCCACGGCACAGCCCCATCTCCCAAGGCAGCAGGGCCCCTGCACGAGGCCACGGAAGGGCGGGCATGCCGGGCGCAGGCCTACTTGAGCTCCTGCGCGATGGCGGCGATCTGCTCCACACGGTCCTGGTGGGCAGCCAGGTCGCTCTCGAAGGCCTCGTGCTTCTTGAGCAGGGCCTTGATCTCCGACAGCGTGGCCGTCTCGTAGTCCTTCTGCCGCAGCATGGCCTCTTTGCCTGGTTGAGAGAGAGGGGCCCGGGGCTGAGCAGGAGTGGGGGGCAGGGGCCGCCTTCCCGGCCCCAGCATGCACCTCTCAGGGCCCTAAGAGCCCCGCTTCTGGGGGGGGGGGGTCCTTCCTGCAGAAGTGTCTCCCACCCAGGGATCTGCAGGGCAAGAAAGCAGATGTGTGGCCAGAGCACTATGTTATGGCTCGGCAAAGTCGCTGCTCGCCGTGGAGCATTTCTGGGGCACAGGGGCAGGAGTTTGGTCTGGCGGTTGGGACCGCAGTGAGGATGCCGGCATCCCACAGGGCAGTGCCTGGGTTCCACCCGCTGGCTCCCTGCTGCCTCCCGACTCCAGCTTCCTGCTAACACAGACCCTGGTCAACAGCAGTGGTGGTCCCAGTAACTGGCTTCCTGCTACTCACATGGGAGACCTGGACTGGGTTCCTTGCTCCCTACTTTGGCCCTGGCCCAGTCTGGCCATTCTGGGCATCTGGGGCATGAGCCAGTGGATGTAGCTCTGTACATTCCTCCAAAAACTAGTTCTGCAGAAGTACAAGTGCACTTCAAAAAGTTCGTGGAAACTGGAATTAAAAGATAAGCTTATTTGAGTGTGAAAAGATTTGAAATCCATGCGTATGAAGGTTTTTTTTAAAAATTCATGAAAGGGGCCGGTACCGTGGCTCACTTGGTTAATTCTCCACCTGCAGTGCTGGCACCCCATATGGGCACCAGGTTCTAGTCCCGGTTGCTCCTCTTCCAGTCCAGCTCTCTGCTGTGGCCCGGGAAGGCAGTGGAGGATGGCCCAAGTGCTTAGGCCCTGCACCCACATGGGAGACCAGGAGAAGCACCTGGCTCCTGGCTTAGGATCGGTGTAGCTCTGGCCGTGGCGGCCATTTGGGGGGTGAACCAACGGAAAGAAGACCTTTCTCTCTGTCTCTCTCTAACTCTATCTATCAAAAAAAATTCATGAAAATGTGTGTATATATATATATATATTTTTTTTAGTTTTCATTCATTTATTTGAAAGGCAGAGTAGCACAGAGAGAGGGAGGTAGAGAGACACTGAGAGAGAGAGAGTTTCCAACCACTGGTTCATTCCCCAAATGCCCACAACAGCTGGGGCTGGGCCAGGCCATAGCCAGGAGCCAGGAGCTCCACGAAGACTCCTGGTGTGGATGACAGGAGCCCATGTGCTTGGGCCATCATCTGCTGCCTCCCAGGTATGTTAGCAGGAAGCCAGATCAGAAGCGGAGTTGGGACTCGATCCCCTGCACTCCAGTATGGGAAGTGGGCATCCAAAGCAGTGGCCAAACCCATTGTGCCACAAGGCCCACCCTTCTTTTTTCTTTAAATTAGTATAATAGAATAATATGACACCTTTGGAAAAGGCATTACAGATAAGCCTACCGATCTCCTCCTGTTCACTCTTTCCTTATATGGACATGTTGTTAAAACACTGGGTGTAGGGGCCGGCGCTGTGGTGCAGTGGGCTAAGCCTCTGCTTGCAGTGCTGGCATCCCACATGGGCTCTGGTTTGAGTCCCGGCTGCTCCATTTCCAATCCAGCTCCCTGCTAATGGCCTGGGAAAGCAGTGGAAGATGGCTCAAGTGCTTGGGCCCCTGCACCCATGCGGGTGACCTGGAAGAAGCTCCTGGCTCCTGGCTCCAGATCGGCCCAGCTCCGGCCATTGCAGCCACTTGGGGAGTGAACCAGCAGATGGAAGACCTCTCTTTCTCTCTGTCTCTCCCTCTTTCTGTCTGTAATTCTGTCTCTCAAATAAATAAATAAATATTTTAAAAAATCACTGGGTGTATGTCAATTATGTTTCTCCCTTTTCTTTTGAAGATCTATTTATTTGAAAGGCAGGGTGACAGAGCGGCATCAGGAGAGAGAGAGAGAGACCAGGAAAGAGAGAGAGAGAGGTCTTCCATTCACCAGCTCACTCCCCAAATGTCCACAACACAACAGCCCAGGCTAGGCCAGGGTGAAGCCAGGGACTTAGAACTCCATCTTGGTCTCCCACAGGGTAGCAGGGGCCGAGCCCTTTAGCCATCTTCCACTGCCTTCCCAGGCACATCAGCAGGAAGCTGGATGGGAAGTGGAACAGCAGGTCTCGAACTAGCACCCATGTGGGATGCTGGCATTGCAAGTGGCAGCTTACCCCGCTGCATCACCACATTGGCCCCCATCTTGCTTTTAAAATACTTAGGGGTACACCATCATGGCCAGTCTCTCCTCTGTGGTCCTCCTGTGGTGTACTCTTCCGGCTACACCATGTTCTGTAGCCACTCACTGCCCTGCTGTGGGGGTGCAGGCCCCTTGGATTTCACTACGATAGATGTCTCCCCACAAATGTCTCCAACCCAACACGCGATTCCCTCCAGACAGCCTGAAGAAATGCAACTGCTAGGTTAGAGTGTAACTAAAGGCTCAGGTGATAGAGAGCCAAACCACGTCCACAGAGGGTGTGCCGGCATGCCGGCACTCGCAAGGCCTGGCTGGTGGCCGGCAAGCTGCTGGGGCCTTTTTCCTCTGTACCCTGGCCATGACCTATCCGTGGCCAGGAGAGGATACCCCAGAAGCAGCCATCCCCTTCCACTCTGCAGCACACATCCCGCCCAGGGTGAACGCCCCTTCTCCGAAATGCGCACGCTCCTGATTTTGGAGTTTCTCAGATTTGGGTAGACTTGGCTGTCGCAGCATCCTTAATCCGAAAATCCAAAACCTAACAAGCTCGGGAATTTGAGACTTTCTGAGAGTCACGTCAGCACTCGGATCAGATTTTTGGATGAGGGATGCTCCAGCTGCACACGCAGCAGGAAGTGAAGCCCACTCCCCCTTAGATGAGTCAAGTGCATGCCTTTGCCCACCTCAGGCCACCCCACATGGCCCTGGGGCCCGCCCTTTCTGCTCATCTCCAGTCTAAGGTCTGAGGAGCACAGCTCAGGACTGAAAGGGGGACTCTAAGGCTCCGAGCTCCATGGCTAAGGGGTCTGCCCCCGGCGCCCCAGCAGATGGGCAGCCCAATCCCGCCTCCGGCTCTGCCCAGGTTCTAAAGGAAAAGACCACCCCAGGTCTGTCTCTCTGCAGCCACCTTAGGTGCTAATAAACAGGTACTAAACACGGCCCCCAAACACCTCCAATCAGTGCGAGGGGAGGGGCCCTGGTTCACGGTCATTGCCGGAAAACACCCAGAGCCACCGTGCCTGAATGCATTCCACCTGCCGGGCGTTGAACTGTGCAGAAATAGCCGCTCTCCAACCCTGCGAAGGGGCTGTGCAGGCCGGAATAGGCTCCCCATCCCCACACGCAGGTCAACCTGGAATCCTAGCATGGACGTCACTGGCTAGGATGAGGTTATCCCAGACTGGGATGCGGCCTAAACCCAACGACTGGCCTCTATCAAGGAGAGGAAGGAAGAGCCAGTCACAGACACAGAGGCAGCGAGAAGCCCCGTGGGGACGCAGGCAGGGACGCGGCAGGTGGAGGAGCCCTGGCACCACCGGAGGCCACCAGAGCTACAGCGCAGAGGGCCTTGCCTTGTCACCTCCTACTGACACTGTAGGCGGCACCTGCAGCCTCTGCCCCAGGACGGAGCCAACCTCTCCGGCCTGAAGCCCAGGAAACTAAAGCAGCAGGAAACAGAGGCCTGTAGGTAAAGGCATTGCGGGCCGGATTTACCGGGCTTTGAAGCGGCCGAGTCGGGATTCAATGCCGGGCTGACTGGCTCGGCGAGGGAGAGACGCCATCTGTGGCAAGAACACTTCCAAATTCACTAACGGGGTCCCCAAAACCCTCCCCACAGGCCAGCTAAGGAGACTGAAGCAACCAGAGGCTCATAAAACTGCCTAGGAGAGCTGGCAGGAGACAAGGGGAGGGGCCGTGGCCGGGGCGGGCCGGGGGTCTCACCGTCGGTCCAGGCCTCGTGGATGGAGGCCTTCTGCCGGAACTTCTCCGCCAGGTGGTCCAGCCGCTCCAGCCTGCGGATCTCGTTCAGCAGCCACTCCTCATAGCCCTTCTCGGCCTGCTCCAGGCAGCCCCAGGCGTTGTTGATGTCCTGTGGGGATGCGAAGCGCAAGGTCAGGGCCTGCCTGGGACCCCGGGCCCCAGCGCCTCTGGCTGGAGATCCCTGCAGCTGGCTCCAGACCTTCCAGGCACGGCCTCGTCCCCAGCTCCACCCTACCACCCAAGCTATCCCTCCCCAGCCCCGGCTCCCGGGAGTGGGGCCAGAGTCCACGCGGGTGCCAGCTCTGGGCCTTTCAGAGTGAGCCTGGTGGGCACTAGGGCTTGGATGTGTCTTCCTAAACTCCCGTGCTGGAAACTAAACCCCCAACTCAGACATCAGGGTATTGCAGGGAGCACCTCCGAGAGCGGGCTGGGTCACAAGGGCTCTGCCCGCGTGAGTGGGTGAATGCGCTCAGGGATTCAAGGGCTCACGGGTAATTGTGCGAGCGCTCCTGTTACACGGGCCAGGTGCGCTCTGGCGGGCTTGCTCAGCCGCATCAGTGTGCACAAACATGGCTGCGTGAACGCTAGCGCTGTGCACTTGCACTTCCCAGCCTCAGGACCTGAACCTGCAGCGAAATCGACCTCTGTTCCTCATCGGTTTCCTGGTCACGGGGGAGCGAGGAAAGAGCCCAAGGCTCTCCCTGCCCAAGACTGGTCAATCACAAGGGCCACAGGGCATCCGGGGAAGCAGCTACGACGCAGGAGGGCAGCAGGCAGCGAGCTGCCCTGCCTCCCCGCATTCCTGGGTCTGCTCAGCCGGCTCAGGCAGCCGGGACCCTGGCCTGCGTGAGCTGGCCACGCTTCTGAGAGGCAGGTGCTAAGCACAAACCCACCTACCCTTTGAGACAAGGCCACCCCCTTCAGTGAGCACGAGGGTCCCTGGCTGAGCAGTGACGGGACTGAGGCCAGCCTGGGCGTCACCCACCCTACCGTGCACCCCGGGGTGGGCACTGGCTCTATTTCTCACAGAGCACTCTGACCACCTAGGAGCTCCCCATGCAGCCTGGGACCTGTAAAAGCATCAGTCTTCCAAATGGCACGCACAAGGTCAAGGTCTTCTTTCGCCCTTCAAGACCCCCGAGGCCGCCACCCCCAGTGCCATCCGCATTTGCTCATCCCTGCCAGTCCCGCTCAGCACGCCCGCCTGTGCTTGCCACCGCTCATTTTAAAGGCTGACAAGCTCTGCCGTGGTGACCCTGCTACATTTTCTGATATTTCTCTGGCTTCACCAAGTCCTGGAGACAGAGTGAAGGGGCACCAGTGGCATAAAAATGACATGAAAGAGGAGTATTTCCCGAAACAGGAGGCTGGTCACATTGGTTACGTCAGCTCTGTGGGGTTTGGGGACTTTTTAAAAAAAAAATTTGGGGGCCGGTGCTGTGGCGCAGCAGGTTAAAGCCCTGGCCTGAAGCACAGGCATCCCATATGGGCGCCGGTTCTAGTCCCTGCTCCTCTTCTGATCCAGCTCTCTGCTATGGACTGGGAAAGCAGTAGAAGATGGCCCAAGTTCTTGGGCCCCTGCACCCACGTGGGAGACCCAGTGGAAGCTCCTGGCTCCTGGCTTCAGATTGGTACAGCTCCGGCCTTTGCAGCCATCTGGGGAGTGAACCAGCAGATGGAGGACCTTTCTCTGCCTCTCCTCTCTCTGTGTAACTCTTTCAAATAAATAAATAAAATAAATCTTTAAAAAAAAATTGTCTTATTTTGTCCGGGGACAGAGCAAGCTCCTGTCCACTGGTTCACTCCCCAAATGCTTGCAACAGGCTAAGCTGGGCAGAAGCCAGGAGCCAGGAACTCAATCCAGGTCTGCTAAGAGGGCTGAGGGACCCAAGTACTTGAGGCATCATCTGCTCCTCCCAGGGTCCCCATTAGCAGGAAGCTGCAGTCAGGAGGTAGAGCTGGGATGTGAACCCAGTTCCTCTGATGTGGAACACGAAGGTCTTAACCACTTAATCACTAAGCTAAACACCTGCCTCAGCTGTTTTAAAGCAGTCGTTACTATATAAAATATGCTTCCTTTAAAAAAGTATGTAAGGGGGGGCCAGCGCTGTGGCGTAGCAGATAAAGCCACGGCCTGCAGCCCCGGAATCCCATATGGGTGCCAGTTTGAGTCCCACTTCTGATCCAGCTCCCTGCTAATGTGCCTGGGAAAGCAGTGGAAGATGTTCCAAGTGCTTGGACTCTTCCACCCTCATGGGAGACCTGGAAGAGCTCCTGGCCCCTGGCTTCCACCTGGCCCAGCCCCAGCTGTTGTGGCCATTTGGGGCATGAACCAGTAGATGGACAAACTCTCTGTCTCTGCCTCTCTGTAACTCTACCTTTCAAATAAACATTTTTTAAAAATTTAAAATAAATAAAAATTATGGAAAAGACTAAAAAGATCTTCTCAAAAACCTTTTTTTAAAGTTGAAACTAGGTGATAAGTGTTAAGTAATTTGTTTTCTGTATTTTGTGTATTTGTAGTTTTCAAATATCCTACCCCCCACACCAAAAAAAAAAAAAGATTTTGATTAGGTAATAAATGTGCTTGCTTTTTAACTACTTAAGATTCCATGGGGTCAGTGCCGTGGCTCAATAGGCTAATCCTCCACCTGTGGCGCCGGCACACCAGGTTCTAGTCCCAGTCAGGGCGCCAGATTCTGTCCCGGTTGCCCCTCTTCCAGGCCAGCTCTCTGCTATGGCCCGGGAGTGCAGTGGAGGATGGCCCAAGTGCTTGGGCCCTGCACCCCATGGGAGACCAGGAGAAGCACCTGGCTCCTGGCTTTGCATCAGCACTGTGCGCCGGCTGCAGCGCACTAGCCACAGTGGCCATTGGGGGATGAACCAACGGCAAAGGAAGACCTTTCTCTCTGTCTCTCTCACTGTCCACTCTGCCTGTCAAAAAAAAAAAAAAAAAAAAATTCCATGGAAGTAAACCGAACTTTACCGCTGCTGAATTGTGATCTGTTTGGTTCAGTAAGCCAGGAGGCACTGTGTTTTTAAAGACATTTCTAAGGAGGCTGGTGCTGTGGTGGAAGGGCGAGCATGGCCCCGTGTGATCACAGTAGACTGGGCACCCATGGGGTGCAGCGGAGCTGGGGCCTAGGCAGGGCTGCGGGCGGAGAATCGAATCCCAGAGAGGCGCATGCACCCGAAGAGAAGTGCCCACCCCGGCGCGGCGCCGGATCTCGAGCCGCTCTGGGCGGGAGGCGCCCCGGCTGCGACAGTGCTCACCGACACCATCCTGCCCTCGGAGGGCATGAAGGCGGGCCGGTTGCTGAGGCGCAGCTTGGTCTGCAGCGTGTTGAAGTTGATCTCCAGCTGGCACTTCTCCTGCACCTTGGGCGGCTTGTGCAGCCGCCGGTAGTCCCGGAAGTCCTCCAGCTTCTGCTGCATGGCGTGCATGGTGTTCTCGGGCAGCCGGTTCTCCAGCCACGGGATGGTGCGGCGGATCCACTCCAGCAGCTGCGGGGCAGGGAGCGGACACTGGCGCTGGCACGGAGCGGGCGAGGGCTCTGCTCCCAAGACCCGCACCAGGGCCTTCCCTGGGTCCAGGGCGTTCCCTCCGCAGGACTTCCAGCCGGCACGGCTCCACCTCCCTGCCCCTCTCTGCCCCGTCCACACCACAGCAAGCAACTAACAGCTGCTCCCTGAGGTTCCTGTCCCCTGACCTGCTAGGCTTCTAGAACGTGGGTCCCTGTCCCAAAAGGGGAGGGGCTGCTTCTGGGGCAGAGCGCTGGCCTGGAGCCCAGGCAGGGACCAGCCTGCATTGTTTTCCAGTAGCCAAGGCGATGGAGAAGATTGGGCGGAATGGAAACCTACCCAATGGCTGCAAGGTGCCGGGTGCCCACTTCCCCTGCAGGAGCCCTGAGTACGTGCTGTAACTGCCCCAGGCTAGGGAGCAGGATCATGGAGATCACAGAGCGAGGATTTACAGCCAGGCCCTCTGGCTACCGAACTGGGGTTCTGTCTGCCCCTGTGGGCCAGCAGAGACACCGAGAGGCTGGGCTGGGCAGCTCACAAGGCTGGCTGTTCTCAGGGAAGCCCTGACCCCTGTGTGGCCAACGGCACACCCAGCACTGGCCCATCCTGTCCCCTGTTGGGCCCAGCACCAACCAGCCCCAGCCAGCCCTGACACCTGCCCGGTCTGTGGCCAGCCCCAGGCACACCACTTTCCCAGTTTACGTGGAACTCACACACAGACCACCAGTGTACCAGGGCTTGGAGACCTCCTATTCAACTCTCAGGAGCTGCAAGGACCTCCTGTGCTCACTGCGCCTACCTCTCCTCCCTGGGAGATCTGCAGCACGGCCCGACTGCCCTGAGAGTTAACTGAGCCGGGCCCGTGGACCACACCCAGCCTGGCTCCCACGACAAAAGTGAGGACTCCTGTTCTCGGAGGGTGGGTTGTGCAGGGCGCTGCTGGGGCCACGGCAGCAGAACCCGGGGGTACCCACATCGCTGGCCAGCTTCTCGTAATCTTCCATCAGCTGCTCGTTCTCCTGGTTGACGGCCAACACCTTGCAGATGCGGTTGGCTGCTGTCTCCGCCTGGTGACAAGACGCAGAGTGTCAGGGCCAGCCGGTGCCGGTGGCAGGGGAACGGGGCACACACCTGTGCCGGCAAAGCCCCTCCCCGACTCCTGCACTCCAAAGTGCCTGGAGGGAGCTGCCATGGCTCTGAAGCCACCTCCTCTCCTAGGTCCTCCTCAGTCCTCCCCCCTACCCCCACTTTGTCAGCCCAGGTCCTGTAGGTCAGTGAGCCTGGATGGAGGCCTTGGTGACTGACCTGGATCCCTGCCAAAGGGCCTGAGTTTGAGGCCCAACACCGCATGTTGGGAAGAAACTAACCCAATGACCGACAGGATCAGAATTCTCAGGTCAGGTGGAGAAAATTGTCCCAGAATTCCCAGGGGCGGCACTGGCACCCCAAGGCTCAGGGCCTCAGGCCTGGATCAGCCAGGATGTTGGAGATGCAATGTGGGAGTCCTGGAAGCAGGTGCTGATAGAGAGGCCTCGGGGCCTCAGGATCCCTGCTGACTCTCCCGGGGATGAGATCACATCGGCGAAAACCAAGGGACCCTCAGCTGCACCAAAGGCAAACCCTGCAGATCAGCCCGGCGAGGGGAGGACGCCCAGCGTGCACGCCCCTGGGAAGACAACGCTCATCACGCATGGAGCGCTGGACAAGCAGAGACCCGAGGGGGCCTCGGCTGCGAGGAAGCAGAGATGGAACTGTGCTCAGACGCAAGGGCTTGGATCCCGCAGGGGACAGCGCTGCCCGTGACCGTGGGCCGTGGAGGGGAGCATTCCTAGGTCCACTCTGCAGCCGTGCTCTGTGCCTGCTCTAACCCTACACCAAAGGGAGGCGGGCTCAGAGCCTCCCGGGAGCCACGGGGTGGAAAGAAAAGAGCGGGCTGGGAGGAGAGGATGCCCGTGAGAAGACAAGCGCACAACTGGGGAAGAAAAAAAGATGCCCGGGGCAAGCGGAGAGAGGCGGGGCCTCCCAGCTGGTGGGTGAGCAAGCCACGGCGGGTCTCGGGGGCAGCACCACGAACTTCCTGAGGCTGTGGGCGCCCAGAGCAGGAAGCTGATGCAGGCCACAGCAGCCACGCTTGCTCCTTGAAGAACTTTCCAAACAGGACGCACGCCACTGGATCGTGTGCTCTGGGGGTGACTGTGCTGGGGGCGGGGCTGATGACTGTAGGGGTCGGGGTGGGCTGGGGCTCAGTAAGGGGGTGACACAGGAATGGCACAGGCTGATCCAAGTCCTCTAGGTAGAACCCGGAGCATTGGGTCTCAAGAAATGGAGACAAGGAGCTGCATCCTCAGGCCTCAGCCCCTGCTCCCAACCATCGCTGTCCTGGAGGGGCCAGGCCTCGTCTCACACAGAACTCCAGGTCGGTCCTCACCCCTCAAGTGAGAGGTCACTCGGGGGAATTCCAAGGGAAATTCCTGGCCTGGAGCCTGTCCCAGAAGTCAGGGGCTCGAGAGGGCAGGGTCCCGGGAACCAGGCCGCTATGTACCCCCCATTCCCATCAGCTGCCTGCAGCACCCAGCTACACCCCTGGAGGCTGGGCCAGGGCAGGGGAGAGCCAAGGGGTGTCCCCTCCAAGTTGACAATCATGTGTGGAGGTGGGGTGGCTGCAGATCCTGCCCCAAACCTGCCTGCCAGCAGATGAGAATCGCAGGGCGCCCCCCACCACTGCAGGCTGGTACAGCTGCTGTTGCCATGGCAAATGGAGAAGGCCCACCTTGCTCTCCTTACAGCCCCAATTCATCTGGAAAACCCTGGGCCCAGTGATCGCAAACGGATGTGTCCATCTATCCACTTGGGTGGCCTGGGATCTGAGCTCACAGGACTGCAAGGGATGTGGCCTGTGGGCCTCTGGACCCTCGCCCAGCACCTAGAGCCTGCCGAGCACTCCAGGGACAAAGGGGGGCATTCTCAGGAGGGCCTCTGGGGATTTTCCATAAAGAGCCAATCCCTTGCACCTCAGCCTGCCCCTGCCCAGCTGGCCTCAGCAACAGGCTGAGAACAGTGAGGTCTATAACAGCAGCCCTGCCCTTGGGAGGGACCTGGACATCATGGGGCAGAGGAACACTTTTCTTTGTAAAAGGCCCACCGGCCAACTCTACCGGGGCTGCCTCGGAGAACAGCCCAGCTCCCATCACCACCTTCAGGAGCAGGTCCCTGGAATCCAGATTGGATTTGGGGTGGGGGGGGAGAAGCAAAACAAACTGAATTCTGACCCCTCCCCTACTCTCACTGTCCAGCTTCCTCTCGCAGGCAGGCAGCACCCCCAGGAAGCCTGCTGCAGGCTGGGATGCACCTGCTTCCACAGCGGCTCTTTGATGAAGACGGGTCGGCCTCCACCGGCCTCAGCCACGGAGCTCAGATGAGATCAGCTTGGCAGGCACGAGCCCAGCAGGGCCTCCAGGACACCAGCCCGGAGTGGAGAACGCTGACGATGGCAGGTGCAGGGCCTACCCTGCGGATGCCAGCTTTCTGGCTTTCTAACGCTTGGCCCCGCCACGGCTCTAAGAACCTCATGCACTGCGGGGGATGTGGGAGACGAGGTAGAAACTCCAAGGGGATATTTCCTCCCGCAGGAGAAAGATGCGGGCCCTGGGAGGGACTTGGAAACTGAAGCAGTGTCAGAAGCCCACACTGGGAGGGGCCTGACCTCGGGTTTGTGTGCGAGAGGGGTTGCCCTGCCCTGGACCCAAGCAAGCAGCACGAGAAAGCCCAAGCTTGCTGGAGTTGATGGGACTCGCACAAGGTAATGCAGGCGAGCACACGATGTGCGATCTTCAACCGGCTGAGAAAACCCAAGCTGTGGAGTGCGCAAGCATCGTACGTGGCTTTCACACGTTTCTTTTGCACCCAAAGCAGCTCATCTTTTAATCCCATTTTCCGTGAACTTTTTGAAGCAGCCTCGGATTTATTCTGTAAAAAGGCAACCTGTCCACTTCTGAGCAGTAGGGGTAAAGGCTACGAGAAATCTGGGTTTGCTCTGCAGTTTGCGTGTGCGTATTTGTTTCCTGACCTACTTTAAGCTGTACTGTGATACAGCGAACATGCAACTACATTTTGCTCTCTATTAAAGAGGAATTTTCCAAAAGTTACAGACTATTATTCCCGGAGGATTTAGCTGTTCCAAGCCAAATTGCACCTACAGAGGAACCATTTTCCACTAAGGTGATGTCAGATATCTAAATGTGGCCACGTGACACGTCCCTACAGATCCACATGACTGCCACGAGGTTCTCATGGGTGACATTCTCCGACAAAGCTTTCCCAGATCTAGCCGGAATGGCCTCTCCTTCCTCCCACAGCTACCCGAAGCCGACTTTTTCCACTTGTCCCAAGTCAGCCCCCCGCGTTGGTGCTTCCGCCAACAAGGTTCCCCACTCTGCAGGGATCTCAGCCCAAGGGTCCGGCTTCCCCCAGGATGGGGGGGCGGGCTGGGCATGGGGCCGGGGAAGAGCTGAGCCCCGGTGTGACACAGGTCCTCTCCCCTGCAGCCGCTCTGGACCGCCTCTGATTCCTGCCATCTTCCCCTCCACAGGCAGCCTGCGTGGAACTAGCGTGCTGCAATCTCATGGCTCAAAGCTTCTACACAGGCTGTGGACCCCTACTCACCCCTGCTGGAGGTCCAGTGCGTCCTGCAGCCCCCTGGCTCTCCCCTCCACCCCAGCCCCCGTTCAGATCCAGCACAGAGCAGGCACTGCTTCCTGCAGCCACTGCCAGCTTCTTGTTCCCAGGGCTCCCCCAGACACACCATGAACTCGAGGGCAGGAACGGGCCGTTGTTCTCCCCACGTACACTGAGGGACAAATCAATGGATGCATCTGCTCCTGAAAGCACCTGGATCAAGTTCATGCTGTCAAGGGCTGCTTCTCAGAGACAGCTCCCAAGTGACCATGAACTTCAAAGCACGGACTACATTAGCCCAGTCTTGGTGCACCCACCCATCCTACATCCCTGTGGGGGACCAGGAGGGGAGAGGGAAGTGGAGAAAGAGTGAGAACCAGAACCAGTGTGTCCTACAGAAGTGTGCCTGCCTCCACCGTGGACAGTCACACGGATGTGTGCGCCATGGCTGTGGGCAGGCACACGTGCTGAACACACACGTGTGCACACACATGCACACGGTGTAAGATCCTGCCTTTCTGGTCCCATGGTCCAAGGTTTGGTGAGGCTGATTCCCCCTATCAGCACCAGCCATGGTGCTGCCAGGCAGAGAGAGCCCTCCTTCCCGGAGCCCCTGCCCCCCAAGGAGGGGTGGGGCTCCCTTCCATCTGGCCCACCAAACTCATGGTTGGCAGCAACTAAGACCCCCGCCCTAGGACAGGAGAGGAGTGCCACCACCCCCACCCCAGCTGGTGACCTTGTCCTCGGATGTGGACAAAAGTAGCGTGAAATGGTTGCAACAGGGATGAGGGGAGGGGAACAGGGCACAGGGGAGGGGTGGAGGTTGTGGAAGAGGAGCAGGCTGCCACACACACACACACACACCCCACATTCCCTTCCGAGCACTTATCAGCCAGGACACAGAGAAGGCCTCAGACACAGGTAAGGCCAGAGTCAGTGGGCGTGAAACCCAGGACAGAGCCCTGAAGGAGAAGAGGAGGAGGAAGAGGAAGAAGAGTGGAAAGAGGGACAGACCACTGCAGTCAGCCGAGCCAGGGACACGGGCAGGTGCGCTCTCCGGGGCTCCGAGGTGGCAGGCCAGCCAAGGCAAGCAGAGAGATGCTGTCCTCGCAGCTACAAGGTGGGGGTGAGGGCGAGCACAGCGGCAGGGGGGTGGGCCAGAGGGAGAGAGGAAGCAGGACACAGGACGGGGGAGGGCTGGGCAGCCGGGACCTGGGGGACAGGAGCCTCCAGAGGGGTCCCTCTGCCTTCTGAGTGCTCACGGGCCCTGGGAGGAAGGTGAGGACAGGGCTCAGAGGTGACAGGCAGGGAACAAGGTAGCTGCTAGCCCAGGGGGTATCTTTGTCTAACTCCTTAAAGCCATCTCCTCCCCCAGGTTGCATCCATTGGAAAGATGTCAACTGATTTTGTTAGGAGATATTTTTTTACTGACATCTGCAGAATATTTAGCAATAAACATTCAGATCTTTATTGTCTACAGCACACACAGGGTGCGCTTGAATTGCATGCAACCTGCACAACCATCCACGGCAGGCCTGGTTGGGAAGCATCAGGCAGGGCTCTGGCCTGGACTTCTCCCTGCCCTGGCTGCTGGCTGTATTTGGAGGGTGGGTGACCTTGCTCGAGCAGGAAGCAAGGAGAGAGTGCGCTTAAGGGAACAGTCAGGAAGCAGAGCCGAGAGCCACAGCGCTCGGGACAAGGGCTCTCAATGGGGGGACGGGTGGGGAAGGAAAGAAGTGGAGACCAGGAACTTCCTTCCCAGTCCTGGTGTCCACTCTGCCCAGTGCACAGGGACGGAGCCCCCAGGGGCCATCAGAGGCTGAGCTTCTCTGGCATCCTCAAGTGTCCTGGCCAAGGGTCACAGAGCGTCTTGCCCCTTTGCTAACCCCTCGTTTCACTCCAGGGCCTGCCACCGGAGCGTCCAGGGCAGACGGAGAGAGAGAGGGCGAGAGGGCGGCAGGGAGAGTGGGCGAGGCCGAGGGAGAGCTCACCTTCTGCGCACCCGAGAAGGCGTGGCAGTGACATGAAACATTAGGTCACATGGCCTTCCCATCCGGCCTTAGCGTGCCTACGCATCTGCGCAGAGAAGAAGAGGTTGAGAGGAGAAAGTAGGCGGCGGCGGCGGCGGCGGCACAGAATCAACCCAAGCAGCTGTGGTGGGCAGAGAGAACACGGGACGGACAGGCAGACAGACAGATAGACAGACACAGAGGGAAGGCTCAGAGAGAGGAAAAGGGGACGGTGTGGGGACAGGGGACAGGTGGGAGCTGAGCACAGTCCCAGGTGGGGCCGGAGACAGGCAGGGAGGGCGCAGGGTGGGGGTGGGGGGCAGGGGCTCCCAGCATGCATCTTCAGACAGGTCGCTGGGGGGCCATGCAGAACGGGACGTTTGCACGAGCATCGGACAGGCCCACAGACCAAAGCCATGGAGTTCCGCGGTCAAGGCTGCCGCTTCTGGGTGTTCGCCCAGGAAGGGGGCTCTGGGGAAAGGGTGTCTGCTGCCCAAGCTACACCTCTGTCTGCAGTGGGCGTGGTGCCCTTGTGTAGTGCAGAACCTGCACAACTGGACTCGGACACTCCCCGAGCGACACTGGGCCAGGACACTTGAAGAGACTCACAGCTGCCCGCTCCCTCCCCGCCCCCACCAGGGGTTGTGTCTCTCTCTGGGAACAGAGTACAAAGGGACCTCGTGGGGGTCCTGGACAGGGACCAGAGGGCGCCAAGGCGCACAGGGGCTGGGCACAGATCTGCTAAATCACGTGTGCATGAGTGGGGCGAAGGTGAGGGGCTTGATGACAGCTGCACACAACGGGTACAGGAAGACAGGCGCTGTCCCCCCAGAACCGCCTCCCAACGGAAAGCCCTTCGCTTGGCCAGGGCTGGAGCTGCAACAGAGGGAGGCGTGCAGGGGCAGGGCCCAGCCCAGCCCTGCTGATCTCACACACACAGCCCTTCCTGCTGATGCCAGGCACCTTCGACCCAGAAGCTCATGAGCCCTTGCCCGATTTTCTTGGTCACGGGAGAGGAAGATGAGAGAGAGAGAGAGAGCAGGGGTGCGGGGTGGGAGAGGAGCCAGACAAGACCAACACGCCACTGCAGAACCAGGCGCTAACTCTACCGATGAGACCATCCAGGCACCTGCCCCGGGGAGGGGCAGGGCGGGCAGGAGGGGTGGAGAGCGTGGCTGGGGGCCGGCATGAGGTGTGCTGGGCATGGGAGGAGCAGGGGGCCCCGGGTACCTTCTGGGCTCCAGAGAAGGCGTGGTAGAAGCTGGACACGTAAGTCATGATAGCCTTCTCATCGGGCCGGGCGGTTCCGACGATGTCTGTCAACGACATCCAGGAGTTAAAGGCAGCCGGGCGCACGTGGCACCACCTCCCGAAGCAACCAAGAAAGCTCCTGCCGACTCAGCGCCGAGACGGGGAGCCTGGCTCTACGCGGCCACGCAGGACCCCACAAGCGCTAAGCGGGGAGGGCGGGGGGCACAGCAGTGAAGACACCGCTAAGGGCGCCTACTTTCCCTATCACAGGTGCCTGAGTCTGGCTTCCTGCTCATGTGCACCTTGACAGGCAGCAGGCGATGGCTCAAGTCGTCGGGCGCCTGCCACCATGAGGGAGGTCTGGATTGAGGTCCTGGCTCCTGGTTTTGGCCTGGCCCAGCCCTAGCTGCTGCTTCATTCTTTTGGAGAATGAATCAGAGGATAGGAGAGCTTTCTTGGTCTTTCTCTCTTTGCTTTTCAAATACGTTAAAAAGAAAAAAAAAGTCCTTCCGCCCCAAGTTCATGGCAGAACTAGGAGGGGAGGGCCAAGGGCGAGAAGAGATGTGAGAACAGAGGGGTGGCACACGACAGGCAGTGCCACGGGTGCACCTCTCAAAGACTCTTCTAGACAACCAGGGACATCTGATCTGGAACTCAGCAGTAGATAAACCAAGACTTCTGTCAATTTGCCAGGTGTAAAAGTTGTTCCGGGGGCTGGCTCTGTGGCATAGTGGGTAAAGCCAATGCCTGCAGTGCCGGCATCCCATATGGGTGCCAGTTCCAGTCCCAGTTGCTCCACTTGTGATCCAGCTCTCTGCTGTGGCCTGGGAAAGCAGTAGAAGACGGCCCAGGTCCTTGGGCCCCTGCACCCACATGGGAGACCTGAAGAAGCTCCTGGGTCCTGGCTTCAGATAAGTGCAGCTCCGGCCACCGCAGCTAACTGGGGAGCGAACCAGAGGATGGAAGACACCTCTCTCTCTCTCTCTCTCCCTCTTTCAAATAAATTAATCTTAAAAAAAAAAAAAAAGGTTGTTCCATGGTTACAGAAGAAAACACCCGTATTTTCAAGGCAAGGTTTTTTCAAGTACATAGCTGAGATTTGCTTTAAAAACATTTCAATAAAGAAAACAAAACAAAACAAAAAAAAAGGAAAAAATACAGTGTGACAAAGTCTCACTCATCATTCCATCTGGATGACGGATACACAAACGCTCCTTATAGCATTCACTCTGCTTTTGGGTACTTCAAAGTACTTGAAAATGTTCTCATGATACAGTGAAATTTAAAAACAAAGGGATGGAGTGGGCGTTTGGCCTAGCAGTTAGAATGCCCACGTTTCACATCTGAGTGCCTGAGTGCGATTCCAGGCTCCGGCTCCTAACTCCAGCTTCCTGCTACTGCAGAGCCTCGGAGGCAGCAGCTGATGGCCCAGGTGATCGGGTTCCTGCCACTCACATGGGAGACCGGGACTGAGCCCCTGGCTCCTGGCTCCAGCCCAGCCCAGTCCTGGCCATTACGGGCCTCTGAGGAGTGACTGATCAGGTGAGAACTCTCTCTCTCTCTCTCTCTCTCTCTGTTGCTGGCAATTTGAAAATGGGTGAGAAGCTACTGGTGGGGCAGGGAGCAGGGAACGGTCCTGGACGCCCCCCCAGCCCTCCTCAGGGAGCAGGCACATTTCACACCAGCCCCTGAGCCCTTGCGGTCAAGGAGTCCCAGATGGCAGGTGGCTAAGGTATGCCAGGCTGCCCGAAGGGGCAAGAGCAGCAGTGGGCACAGGGCTCAGTCTTGAGGCCCATGGGCCTGCCCAGCTCCCCAGAGACCTCCCCACCAACCCACCCACCCACCCACCCACCTCTGTGCACCTGCGAGAGCTGCTCTGCACAGCAGGGCTTGGTGGCCATCGGGTGGCCCACACGCCCCGCCCAGAGACCTCATCTTTGGTAAGGATGTTTTTGCATCAAACCCCAAACCTGTCCCTAGCCAGGTTCCGTCCCCACACTGCCTGGGTCTGCCGCGCAGGCAGGACAGATGGGGAAGCTACACCGCCAGGGAGCTGTAGCCCAGGGCCCCTCCACGGAGCAGGGCACAGGGCGGGTCCCCAGGATTGCAAGGACTATGAGGGTGACGAGAGCTAGCAGCACACGCAGTCCTCGGTCACAGCGGGAACATGGCCAGGGCGCTGCACCCTGCCCGTGGGCTGTGGCCCCTGCAGGATGGATCTCAGCCGGGGGGACCTCCTGTCCCAACCCGCAACTGTGACTCCAAGACAAACACGAGAGCAGTCCTTAAGCGATCCGGGCAAGAAGAGCCTCAAAGTCCCCTCTCCCTTCAAAGCTCAGGGAGCTGCGGCGTTCCTGATGGACAGGAGACCCCAAGCTCCCGCCCCCGCCCCCTGTCCCCCGCCTTAGCTGCAGCCGGCGGATGGGGGACGCCCTTCACCTTCGGCATCCAGCATCTTGGGGATGTCCAGGTACTTCTCTGCCACATCAAAGGCCGTGTTCAGATTCGTGAGGGGGTCGTCCTGGGGGGGAGGGGAGAAGGCGGAAGAGGTGAGAGTGGGGACAGGGACCGCGGGGACACCCCTGAGAGGTGTGAGAGGTCACCAGAATGGGGGACACAGGGCACTGTCACCAGCCTGGATCCCCAGGGCGCAGCTCTGGGCACAGAACGCTGCTCTCACCGGCTGCAGGTCAGAGGGTTCTTTCCCTCTCAAAGTTAGGTTTCTTCATCAGAAAAATGGGGTGAAGACCTTGGGTGGGGTGGGAAAGGCCTGCCTGCTGAGAAATGCATGCTGGGGCCGGCACCCTGGTTCCTGGCTTCTGGTTCCAGCCCGGCCTCACGCCCGCAGAGCTCCAGGGCAAGGACCCTGGCCTCAGTTTCCCCGTGTGTAACACAAGACTTGGGACTAGGAGGCTCCGAGCTCCAGACTCAGCAAGAGTTGGAACAGGTGAGGCCTTGGGGCTCCCCCAAATGGCCCCCGTCCTGTGAACTGTGCTGGCCTCCAGGAAGCTCAGCGGGGACTGGCGAGGATGGGGAGACACTGGGGGGCATCAGACGGAGTGGGAGTGTGACACGGCGCAAGGGACACAGAACGGGCGATCGCCGTGGCATCCGGCGATTCCATTCCTGGCTCTCCATGGAAGGTCTGTGACAGGAAGGGCAGTGGCATACCCACGGCCAGAGCAGGCTACTCACGGTGGCCAAAAGATAGACGTGGCCAGGTGTGCGTCCCTGGACGACAGGACAAGCAAATGCGTTCAGACACGCGAGCGGGCACGGTTCAGCCTCGCTCAGGAAGGAAAAGTCTCTGACCCCCAGCACAACATGGGCGCACTCTGCCAAGTGAGATAAGCCAGGCACAGGAGGACAGAGGCCGGAGAGCACCACTTCCCGAGCTTCAGCTGGTGCGGGCAGAAAGCAGAATGGTGGTGACCAGGGGCTGGGCAGGGGGAGAGAGCGGGCAGCTGGTGGTTCATGGGTCCTGAGAAAGTTCTAGAAATGGATGGTGATGGATGCGCAACAACGTGCATGAAGCTAACACCTCTCAATGGTACACTTGACCATGGTTACAACGGTTCATTTTAGGTTTATCTGTATGTGTATTTTACCAGAAATTTAAAAAAAAACCTGTAAGGTGCAGAAGGCCCGCCCAGGAGTGGGAGGAGTTGCAACCTGCTGCAGGCAGACTTTGCCTCGGTTCCTCCACTTGCTAAAGTGAGAATACCCAGGGAACTGAGGGGTAAACACACCCATTTGGGACACTTTCAGGAGGAAATTACTCAAAACAGAGAAGGCGGAGCCCTTCTGGGAAAGTCTGACAGGAGCCAGGGTGACGGGAAAACACCGCCAAGCGCTACAAGTCACTTCCACCAGAGCCTGGCACGGCAGCTGCCAGCGTCACCCCGACGCCCACTCGCCTGCTGCCCCAGGGAGCAGGCACCTCCCGTACCACCACCCTCTCACCGAGACTCTTCAGGAGGGAAGAGCCCCAAGTTCTTTGAGACAAGGTCCGGGCTAGCGTTTGGGCTGGATCCACTAAGAGATCCACTAAGAGAACTGAATTAAAGCGAACTGGGGCGGGGGGAGGGGACGACACAGAGTAACACTGGGGGAAATGGGCTGGGGCTGATAAAAAGCTGCAGAGAGGGATGGGGTGGTATCAGGCAACGCCCCCCCACTGCTACCCCACTCCTGCCTCCCAATGACGGAGGCACTAGGAGCCTCTGCAATGGGGCGGTCAGCACTGGTCCAGCTCCAGGTGGGGATGGGCAACAGCTGGGGACGACCTGGCCACTGTCACCTTGTACACTCAAGCAGGGGACAACAGGTACAGCACACTTGTCATAAACAGCTGAGTCAGGAGCTGGCCTGTGACACCAGCATCCCAGATAAGCGCCAGTTCTAGTCCTGGCTGCTCCACTTCCGATCCAGCTCCCTGCTAATGCGCCTGGGAAAGCAGCAGCAGATGGCCCAAGTGCTTGGGCTCCTGCACCCAAGATGGGAGTTCCTGGCTTCTGGCTGTTGCAGCCAGGGGCCTTTCCAAGATGCCCATGCATGCGGCCTCTTGGCACTGGGACAGGTGGAGCAGATGTTGCTGAGTCCAGTCGAACGGTCAGGATGGTTCAGGACAGGCTTTGCCAAGGTCTCGGTCAGCACCCCTCACCAGCTCAGACGCCGAGAGCCAGCCTGAGGCTGGAGACAGCCCTCATCGCCGCTCGTCTGCCCTGCCATGCACACAGCCAGCCGCACGACACATGCCAGAAGTGTAAGAGAAACCAAGCAATGTTCAAAGAAAGCCCTCCAAGCTGGAGCAGGGAAGGAAATGAAATCCATGTGGGGCGGGAGAACCCGCTCAGGACCGCGCAGCTGGGAGAAAACCTCTCTCGGAAGATACAATACTGTCAGTCACACGGTAATGGTGCCACCTTGCAAAGCCCACAGGAACATGAGGCAGGAATGTCACTTAGGACCTCATCGCTCCCTCCCCCAACTATGGCCACAGGGGTGCATTCTCTAGGTGTGCCAGGACTGTGCACACGGACGCACCTGCTGTGTGCCCATGGGCATGAAGGAGCCTGCAAGGGGTTTTCCTGCTCACTTCTACAAAGGCCTGGCCGGCCTAAGAGGCAGACACCTCTCGGAGCAGGGGGCCAGGCCCGTTGTCCCCCTGCCCACCCACCCAGCAGGGACCAGCAGGTGGGGTCGGGTGAGGGCACGCACCTTGCGCAGCTTGCCGTAGTCGATCAGCTCAGGCCGGTGTCGGTGGATCAAGGCACAGAAGCCGAGGCCGTCCTTCCAGCTGCCCAGAGAGAGAGAAAGTGGAGCGAGCTGGTGAGGGCGGCCCACCGGCCAGGCGGCCAGGCGCTAACCAAAGCTGGGCTGGGAGGCGAGGGCCACCTTTATGCTGGGGATAAACAGGAGGGGATTTCAAAAAGTTCGTGGAAAGCTGGCATCAAAAGAAAAGTTCAGGGACAGGCATTTGGCCTGGTGGTTAGGACGCCTGCCTGCATCCCGCATCAGAGCATGTACCCAGCTGTGACTCCTGACAACGCAGACCCTGGGAAGAGCAGGTGTGCTGTCAAGTCACTGGGTTCCTGCCACCCACATGAGAGACCGGCCCAGCCCCGTCCTGGCTCTCATGGGCATCTGGAGAGTGAACAGCAGGTGCGTGCTCACTCTGTTTTTCAAAAACAAGTTATTTTGATGCAAAATTTTTTTGAAAAGCAAGCCCATTTTTTTTTTTTGAAATATGCATTTTTCCATGAACTTCTGGGAAGTCCCCTCAGCTATAACTTTTTGGAGATGGAGATAGGAGAAGGCAGGTTGAAAAGGGACATTTCTTCCTGCCACAATCCCAGACGCTGTGGGGGGCTGCGGCTGCCCGGGAGCCCGGGCTGGGATGTGCAGGACGCTCCCCTGGGGGACTTCCCTGGTGGTATGAACACAGACCGAAGTGTCCCAGACATAGCAGCTGTGTCCAAGACAGCGATACGTCCCGTTCAAGGCAAGGCGCCTCTTCCCCTGGGGCCCCAACTCGGCTCCAGAGCCGACACTGACCCCGCCAAGGTGGCCAGGAGTTCCCGGGGAGGCAGCCCGGCAGCCCCCGGCCACTCACCTTATATGGAAGTTTTGGATGTTGACATTCTTGTAAGGGGCCGTCTTCCTCTGACACCACAAGAGCAGCCCTTCCTTGGCTGATGTCTCTGTGGGAAGGGGACCGGCAGAGGTCAGCAGGCTGGGCGGTGGGTGGAGGGTGCTGGCTCACGTGACGCCTGGATTCCAGCCCTGCTGCTGCCGGGGAGGGGGGAAGCCCCTGCCAGCAAGTTCACGGCTTGACAGGGTTTGAGAAGTTATCCGAGAGCCTAGGAAGCATTTCAGAGCTGGCTGCGTGGCTTATTTAAATTCTGAGAGGGGGCGGGCGTCGGTCCGAGTGATGCAGCACCAGTTAACATGCCAAGGTTCCAAATCAAAGCACCTGGACTCCACACCCGGCCCCTCCTCCTGACTCCAGCTTCTTAGCAGTGCGCACCATGGGGACAGCCGGTGACGGCTCAAGTACCTGGGATCCTGCCACTCACGTGGGAGACTTGGATCGAGTTCCCGGCTCCCGGCTTTGGCCTTGGCTCAGGCCCAACTGTCCTGGGCATTTGGGGAGTGAACTAGCAGATGCGGGTTCTCTCTCCACTTCTCAAATAAGTAAATAAAACGTTTTTTTAAAATCCTGACCTAACAGTGATTCTAGTTTTCAGAATTATTTCTCCCTACTCCTTTGGATTTGGAGAAATGGAAGTGATAGGAAGTAAGTCGGCGACCGCATCAGGCGGCCCCTCTGGGGAGGAAGCTCTGATGGGGCCAGGGAATCTGCAGGCCAGGAGTCTCCAGACAGGGCCTCCGGCAGCCTGCAGAGTGCACACAGCTGAGTGGGAAGAAAGCGTGGGGACTCCCACCCGGATCTTACTGTCATCTAAAAAATAAGGCTCCTCTGTTTTCACTGCGTGGATTGCAAATTTGTGTGTGGGGGGGTGTGCCTATGTGCATATCAACGTGCAAATGTTATGAAATAAGTGCACGCCTATCAGAAATAAGCTCAAAAACTGCGGCAAGGTGGACTCCAAAGCCCGCTCAGTCATTACCCCCGTCACAGTAGCCCTTGCAGGTCTGGGAGGAGGCCACCAGAGGGAGCCATGCGAGCAACGTGGAGGACCTGGGTCAGCTCCCGCCAACTGGGGCTGCTCCCGCCCCACGCTCAGAAGCCACGGCAGGTTTACAGGACACTCCCTCACCACAGCCTCTGGGCTTTGCCAAAAGTGGCTTCCCTGCACACCTATGGGAACTGGCAGCCCAGAAAAGTCCTTACAGACCAGGAGGCAGGGCAGATGCCCTGAAATGGGCCCATGACACAGCGGCCATCGCCCAGGGCGAAGAGCTAACCGAGCCGAGGCTGGCGAGGAAGATGAGCCGCTGGAGGCCGGGGGTGGGGGTGGGGGGAGGAAGCCCACCTTCCACCGAGATGTCCTGGATGGCGAAGCGCAGGATGATGGTCCAGATCATGCCCAGGGTCATCTTCACGTTCCCGTCCACGATCTCTGCAGAGACAGCGGCGGGGTGTGTCAGGACGTGGCCGCACCTCGGGAGCCCCCACACCTCGGGCGCCCCATCACACCACAGCAGCGGGTCGTCAGGACGCGGCCACACCTCGGGCGCCCCGTCCCGCCACGCACCGCGCTAGGAAGCAGAGAGCAGAGTGCCGCTTCCGGGGCAAGGCGGGGTGTTAGGAAGAAGTGCAAAACCCCGTGATAGGTGCCAGGAGAGACCTCTACAAGGAAATGGAGTCAATTCCACGTGGGGACAGTGGGAGCCTCGGGAAAGGCCCCAGAAGCGGGCGTCTTGAACCCTGACCGGGGCTCCCCAGCCTGCCGGAGAAGAGGGGGAGGCTGTCTAAGCCACACAGATGTTCTGGCGACTCTAGCAGCTGGGGGTCTCTGGGCAAACAGCCACCACACAGGGAAAGCCAGCACGAGTGGCAGAAAGCCATCCACTCAGCAGTTCTGTGACCTGCCACCGTGAAGGAACCACCCACTCCCAAGTCACCCTTGTAACACTACCAGTTGCAGATTCAAATAGATTCTCTTCTTTAAATATCAAGCAACAGACAAGTCCATGAGTGGAGAGAGACTGTTACATTTAACCTAAGCAGCACTTTCTAGTTTTTTTTTTTTTTTAAGATTTATTTATTTATTTGAAAGGCAGAGTTACAGAGAGGCAGAGGCAGAGAGAGAGAGAGAGAGAGAGAGAGAGAGACAGAGAGAGAGATCTTACATCCACTGGTTCATTCCCCAGATGGCCACAATGGCCGGAGCTGAGTCTATCCAAAGCCAGGAGCCAGGAGCTTCTTCTGGGTCTCCCCCATGGGTGCAGGGGCCCAAGGACTTGGGCCATCTTTTGTTGCCTTCCCAGGCACATTAGCAGGGAGCTGGATTGGAAGTGGAGCAACTGGGATCCAAATGGGCACCCATATGGGATGCTGGCACTGCAGGGGGCGTCTTTACCTGCTACGCCACAGCGCAGGCCCCACTTGCTAGACTTTTAAGTGCTATAAACTCTAGTACATTTTCTTCTAAGCCTCGGCCAAAGGCAGAGAATCCAAACAGAACAAAGCTCCTTTCTAAGGCACCAGCTGACACTGAAATGTAGACTCCTCACCCTCACCTCCTTCTCAGACCAGGAGATGGTGACCTGGCTCAGGGTAGGGTATGCTCAAGTTAGAGTAAGGTGCCCAGGCCGGCACTGTGGCTCACTAGGCTAATCCTCTGCCTGCGGCGCCGGCACACCAGGTTCTAGTCCCGGTCGGGGTGTCGGTTCTGTCCGGCTTGCTCCTTCCAGGCCAGCTCTCTGCTGTGGCCCGGGAATGCAGTGGAGGATGGCCTAAGTGCTTGGGCCCTGCACCCCATGGGAGACCAGGAGGAAGCACCTGGCTCCTGCCTTCGGATCGGCGCAGCTCTGGCCATAGCAGCCATTTGGGGGGTGAACCAATGGAAGGAAGACCTTTCTCTCTCTCTCTCTCTCTCACACACACACACACACATACACACACAGTCTAACTCTGCCTGTCAGAAAAAAAAAAAAAAAAGAGTAAGGTGCCCAAGGGTGATCTTATCTTTCTCCACCTGCAGCCTTACTTTGGGAGGAGTTCCTAATGGAAGCATGGGAAGGGGCGATTTCCAGGGCATCCCGACCCCTCGGCCCATGCCCATGAGAGTTCGCGTCCACACCCCCCATAGACAAGAATGGATTTGCATTAAGGCAGGCATACTCTAGGGCCCCAGCCCCTTGCTCAAAAATTCAGTGGTAGGATGGGCTTTCGGTGCAGCCGTGCAGACAGTGCTTGTCATGCCTGCCCCCCCCCCGGGGTGACCAGGATTGAGTGCCAGTTCTGCTTGACTCCAGCTTCCTGCCAGCGTAGACCCTGAGGGGCAGCAGGTAATGGCCCAAGTGGTTGTATCCCTGTGACCCACATGAGACCCAGGCTGAGTTCCAGGCCCTTGGCTTCAGCCTGGCCCAGCTCCCGCTGCTGCAGACACATGGAGAGTGAGTGGACAGAAAATCTCTCTCTCTCTCTGTGGCTGGCCCTCACTCCCCGTTTTCCTTTGCCTTTCAAATAAATAAATAAAAATAAATAAATAAATAACTAGGGCGTTGACTTTCAAAAACCAGTTTAGAAGAAAGTGGCCTGTTGCTCTCTGACCAGGTGAGTGCCGAGCAGGGAGCAGAAACCCCCGGGGGAGGGCAGGCGACAGCGCTGGGCCTGCCTAGGGTGCAGAGCGAAGGCCAAGCAGAATCCACTCTGCACAAAGGGTAAGAAGCGACTCTCCCTCCTAACAGCCCCAGACACCGGCAGGCACGGCCCCCACCCAAGGGTCTGGGGTGGAAACAGACAGCTCAGTGACACAGCTGGCACTCAGCAGGGTGCACTGTGGGCAGGCAGAGTCAGTTCGTGAAGCTTGGCATTCGAAGATGCACATTTGGGGCCGGCACTGTGGCGCAGCGGGTAAACACCCTGGCCTGAAGCACCAGCATCCCCTATGGGTGCCGGTTCGAGACCCGGCTGCTCCACTTCTGATCCAGCTCTCTGCTGCAGCCTGGGATAGCAGTAGAAGATGGCCCAAGTCTGTGGGCCCCTGCACCCGCATGGAAGACCTGGAAGAAGCTCCTGGCTCCTGGCTTCGGATCAGCACAGTTCTGGCCATTGCGGCCAATTGGGGAGTGAACCATCGAATGGGAGACCCTTCGCTCTCTCTCTGCCTTTCCTCTCTCTGTGCGACTCTGACTTTCAAATAGATGAGTAAATCTTAAAAAAAAAAAAAACAACATTCGTTTGCAACTTGTAATAGTTTCGCATCTGCAATAATTCAAGAGCATATCCACACTGATCAGTAGATACATAAGCAAAAGACATGCATAGATCTGTCCCAAAACACAACAGGTAATGAACTTATAAGAATGTTCAGGGGCCAGCGCTATGGCACAGTGGGTAAAGCCACTGCCTGCAGTGCCAGCATCCCATATGGGCGCCGGTTCTAGTCCCGGATGCTCCATTTCTGATCCAGCTCTCTGCTATGGCCTGGGACAGCAGTAGAGGATGGCCCAAGTCCTTGGGCCCCTGCACCCACATGGGAGACCCAGAGGAAGCTCCTGGATCCTGGCTTCAGATCAGCTCAGCTCCAGCCGTTGGAGCCATTTGGGGAGTGAACCAGCAGATGGAAGACCTCCCTCTCTCTCTCTTTCCCTGCCTCTGTAACTCTGCCTTTCAAATAAATAAATAAATCCTTAAAAAAAAAAAGAAAGAAAAAAGAAACTGTGCACGGTTCTTTTCTCCCCCTCTTCCAGAACATAAGCTCCACCGAGGCCAAGAATCTTCTCCGGTTTCTATACTGCTCAGCGGCAGACGGGGCCCCGTGAGAAAGCCCTCCGTGTGCACTGGCTGAATGAATGCATACACACTGGCAACACCGGCCCACGGAGGCAGAGCCCCTTGCTCCCTGGGAAAGCAGTGCTCAGGCAGTTCCGGGGCAGGGCCCGGGTACAGAACGGTGCGCAGCTATGCTCAACCAATAGACAGTTAAAGCTGCAGCTAAAGGCGACATGCGGGAGTTTCCCACGACTTGGGAAAACTTCACAAGCACGTTTATGCGCAGCATTTCAAATATAAGGAGAAGCGGCTCCCAGCTCTAAAGGAAGCAGGCAGCTTCTTTTGGGGGTCTTACTGTGCTTACTCCTCTCCCTCCTACACCCCAAAATCTCACCCAAGGAGTTTGCTACTGAGTTCTCACTCACACCAAACAAAGTGTTTGATTCCAGAAACCAGGCACCAGGGACTGGCAGGGAGAGGGGAGTTACCGGCTGTGCACCTCGACTCCACCCCCCATCTAGGGCACAGCCCCGGCCCCAGGGAGGCAGCCCCACTGCACCAGGCATTGCACCGGGGCTGCCCCATTCTTAAGAGGCAGCTTCATGGCAGGGGGTTGCTGGGAAGGCTGCGCCCAGAGGTTCCAAGGCCACAAGTGGGCTCCATGGGAGAAACCGTGATGATAGATTATTGATGTCTGCCCTGGGTGTGGGAGGCAGTGGTGGCTCCTGTTTCCTGTTCCTGGTCTGCAAGGCGCTGCAAAGCGTTTTGCGTGGCCGGCGCCGCGGCTCACTAGGCTGATCCTCTGCCTTGCGGCGCCAGCACACTGGGTTCTAGTCCCAGTCGGGGCGCCGGATTCTGTCCCGGTTGCCCCTCTTCCAGGCCAGCTCTCTGCTGTGGCCAGGGAGTGCAGTGGAGGATGGCCCAAGTGCTTGGGCCCTGCACCCCATGGGAGACCAGGAAAAGCACCTGGCTCCTGCCTTCAGATCAGCGTGGTGCACCAGCCACAGCGCACCGGCCACAGCAGCCATTGGGGGGGGGTGAACCAACGGCAAAGGAAGACCTTTCTCTCTGTCTCTCTCTCTCACTGTCCACTCTGCCTGTCAAAAAATAAAAATAAAAATAAAAGCGCTTTGCGTGTGTCCTATTTTCGCTGGGACAATACTCTACTGCTTCTCCCATCCCCCCACTCCAGGGAGGCAGTCAGCTGCCCATTATCCAGACAGAATGAACGATGCTGCACAGGTCCCACGTGACAGAAACTCGAATCCCAGGGGCCACCTCCCAGTCCAACACTTTGAATACTGCACCCCTTGCCCTCTCTGTGCTGAGAGATACTACATCATCAGGACCACTCCCAGGTCCTTGACACCTAAGCCATCAAACTTCAAAATGAAATGGAAAATCTTTCTCAGGTCCCCTCTGGGATTAAATCCCAACCGTTGAGCTGTGCGTTCGGTGTGGTGGTTAAGATCCCCCTTGTGACACCCGCATCCCATATCAGAGCGCCTGGGTTCACATTCTGACACCACTTCCAATTCCAGCTTCCTGCTAACACGCACCCCAGGAGGCAGCACAGCTCAAATAGTGAGAGACCCAAATTGAGTTCCAGGCTCCCAGCTTTGGCTTAGCCCAACACTGGCTACTGCAGGCATTCGGGGAATGAATTAGCAGATGGAACATCTCTCTGTGTCTGTGTGTCTCTGGGTCTCTGCATTACCAAAGGAGGGGGAAAAATCCCAACCGTTCACCCAGGCCAAGTTTCAACTCCAAGAAGCCTAGAACATTCTAGAACCAAATCTATTTGGAGAAACCGTAGGGCTCTAGTCGAACTCCTCCCAGACATGTGGATACTTCAGGTTCCCTAAGGCTCTACATCCGGAACTCGGCTGCCTAGAGCGTCTCCCTCCCCAGCCTGCACCTGTGCTTCCGGGAGGACCGCAGCGCGGTTCCTGCACAGGGCCAGCCCTCCGCAGCCCGGCTGCTCTGACACCAGGACAACCACCCCCACTTCCAGGACGGCTCGTTGCTGGGGATCACGCCGCTGCCGTTCATTTTCTAATCTGCGGCAGTAAACTTCATTTCATTAAGAATCAAAACCCATTTGGTAGCTCCACTGGCTTTTCAGCTGGGCACAAGCATGTGCTGGGGCTTGAAATGGGGTAGACTGATTCAACGCAGGCAGCGTCCACAAACCTTGACTGCCCACAGGGGTGAGAAAGGAAAGAATCGCATTTTTATAGGAGCGCTTTGGAAATCTGCAGAGAAGCCAGGCTCGTGTTACAGGGGCTGGGTGGAGGTGGGGGGCCCGGCAGATCTGCCACCTCTCGGCGGAGGGAACCCAGATGTGCAGGCTCTGCCCCTGGGGCAGCTGAGCCTGGGCTCCATTCTGGCAACTGCTCAGTTCATTTAACTGTAGAGTGTGGCTGATCACACCCACCTAACAAGCCTGCTGTGAGGGTCGGGGACAGCTGGGTGAAGTCTCCTGGCTGGCCAGGTGGGGCTGTTCCCACCCACCTTCTCTTTCCATCCCTCCTCCCCTCTGGTAGAGTCTTTTAAAAAAATCTAACTGGGAAGAGACAGAGAAACAGAGGTCTCCTATGCCTACAATGGCCGGCACTAGCTGGGACCGAAGCCGGGAGCTTGGAACTCAAACCAGGTCTCCTACATGGGTGGCAAGAACTCAACTACTTGAGCCATCATGGACTACAGGGTCTACAGGGTCTACACTGGCAGGAAGCTGGAGCCAGGGGCCTGAGCTGGGAACTGAACCCAGATGTTCCAAGGTAGGATGTGGGCATCTTAACCGCTAGGCTAAACACCTGCTCCTGGTAGAATCTTAAAAAAAAAAAAATAAACTGCTTTTTAAAAATTTCACTGGGGGTGGCCGGCGCCGCAGCTCACTAGGCTAATCCTCTGCCTAGTGGCGCCAGCACACCGGGTTCTAGTCCCGGTTGGGGCGCCGGATTCTGTCCCGGTTGCCCCTCTTCCAGGCCAGCTCTCTGCTGTGGCCTGGGAGTGCAGTGGAGGATGGCCCAGGTGCTTGGGCCCTGTACCCCATGGGAGACCAGGAAAAGCACCTGGCTCCTGGCTCCTGGCTCCTGGCATCGGATCAGCGCGGTGTGCCAGCCGCAGCGCGCCGGCCGCGGCAGCCATTGGAGGGTGAACCAACGGCAAAGGAAGACCTTTCTCTCTGTCTCTCTCACTGTCCACTCTGCCTGTCAAAAAAAAAAAAAAAAAAAAGAATTTCACTGGGGGCCAACATTGTGGAGTAGCAGGTAAAACCGCCACCTGCAACACCGACATCCCGTACGGGCTCTGGTTCATGTCCCGGCTGTTCCACTTTCCATCCAGCTCCCTGCTAATGTGGAAAAGCAGAGGAGGACACCCCAAGTGCTTGGGCCCCTGCACCTACGTGGGAGACCTGGAAGAAGCTCCTTGCTCCTGGCTTTGGCCTGGCCCAGTGCTGGCTGTTGAGGTCATCTGGGGAGTGAACCAGCCAATGGAAGACCTCTCTCTCGCTCTCTCCTGTCTCTCTCTGTAACTTTGCCTTTCAAATTAATAAATAAATCATTTTTTAAAAATTTCCTATCAGACGCAAAAAAAAGTTGGCTGAGCCCCACCTGACAGGGAACTCTGCCTGGGTCCCTGCACCCACCCAGCCGTGAGCCTCTCAAGAGTACAGATTATGTCTTCTACGCCCTGCGGCCCACCATGGTTCCTAACAGCATGAGGTCCACCGCAGGTGTTCCAGTAAGTGTTCAAAGGAGTTGCAGGTGGCGGGGTGCTCTGCTTTGTGCCTGGAAAGCAATTCTCTGCTTTTTAATAAGAAAGGACGTTTTGTTCTATTAAGGAAGAATAAACACTTGGCAGAAAAATGTGTAACTAAGCAGGCACAGAAGCCAAAGAAAACGCCATTCAGGTGGTCTGGTGCCAGCCCAGATGCCCACTGGGGCAGGGAAGGAGTGAATACGGTACATGGGCCTGGGAGAGCCACAGGGATGGGTTGAGTCTGAGTTAAACTGGACAGAACGTGTCCTTCTATGCAGGCCCAAAGACTCGAGCCATCTTCCGCTGCTTTCCCAGGCCACGGCAGAGAGCTGTATCGGAAGTGCAGTAGCCAGGATTTGAACCCGTGCCTATAACATAAGGGATGCTGGCATCGCAGGAGGCGGCTTTACCTGATGCACCTCGATTTCTACAAGAAAGGGACTCCCATCGCCTGGAGAGGAGAGGTCTGCTCCCACGGACTTCCTGGTGCATTCCTCTGGTGCCACACACACACCTGCATTTCGGCTCGGGCTTGACCAGTGACTGACCCTGAGCAAGGAACGCGACGTCTGCAAGTAGCTGTTTGCCTCTTTGTCCAACAAGGACCACACGTAGAGCCGCCTCCTAGGGGCGGCAACGCTGGTGGACAAGGTTCAAGTACCCGCCAGCCCGAGTGTTGAGAACTCCCAGCCACGGCTGTACCCTGAATGAATGCGTGCGTGAGGCTGTGTGTCAGGTACCTGGCATCACGCAGCAGGTGCCAGCAGGTGTCTGCTGGATCCATAGCCAAGTTTCTCAAGGGTTGGAGTATTTGAAACCCCTCACCCCCACCCCCAACACCTGCACTCAACCAGTTGTGCTGGGGCAGGTGTTTGGTGCAGGGGTTAAGACACTGCTTGGGGAGGCCGGGGTTGTGGTGTACGTAGTAGGCAGAGCCTCCGCCTTTGGTGCCGGCATCCCACCCGGGCACCAGTTCGTGTCCCGGCTGCTTCTCCTCCAATCCAGCTCTCTGCTTCTGGCCTGGGAAAGCAGTGGAGGATGGTCCAAGTCTTTGAGCTCCTGTACCCACATGGGAGACCTGAAAGAAGCTCCTGGCTCCTGGCTTCAGATCGGCTCAGCTCCAGCCACTGTGGCCATTTGGGGAATGAACCAACAGATGGAAGAAGACCTCTCTCTCTGTCTCTCCATCTCTCTGTAACTCTACTTCTCAGATAAATAAATGAATGTTATAAAAAATAAAAAAGACACTGCACGGGACCCCTGCATCCCATACTGGGGTGCCTGTGCCCGCGTCCTGGCTCTGCTCCTGATTCCAGCTTCCTGCTAACGCGCACCCTGGAAGGCGGCAGGTGCAAGGGTTCCTACTGCCCCCACGAAAGACCTGGATTGTGTTCCTGGGCTGTTGCAGGCATGTGCAGAGTGAACCAAAGGGTGAGAGAGCCCTCTGTGTTTTCTGTCTGCCTTCAAATAAATAAATAACCGTTGAAAAAAAGGCAACTGTTCTACCTCCTTGTAATCATAAAGCTAGTATGAAGGGACTTCAAAAAGTGTAAGGAATAATGGAACTAAAAGACATGTTTATTTTGGTGCACAACATTTTTTGAAATCCAAGCATACTTTTTTTCACAATATCCAATTTCCATGAATGTTTTGAAGACTTCTTGTAATGGTTTAAACAGCTTTAGAAAAAGTGTTCCTAAGTGAAAGCAAAAAAAAAAAAAAAAACCACCAACCTCCCCCCCCCCCCCCCCCCCAAAAAAAAATACCTCGAGAAGCTGCATTGCAGGGAAAGGCTACTGAGGATGTCAGGACGTCCCTAAGGCCTCGCATCCAGCAGCCTCCCGGGGGCTCCCGGGGCCTCGGGCACCCCGCAGCCGCCCCCCCCCGGCCATGACACCACACACCCTCCCTCACCCTCCCTCCCGGGCACAGAGCTGTCTGCTTCAGGCAGCACAGTTCAGCCAGGCCTGTGCAAGAGGCGGCCTCTGCCCCTGCAGGGTTCCACGGCGCCAGCAGTTGGCAGAGGAAGTGGAGGGTGGGAAGCGGGACGAGAGTCCTTGGCTGGGGCAGGGCGGAGGCTGGAAGGGCCGCGTGAAGGAAGCACAGGCTGAGCAGATGGAGGTGCTGGGCACCCGCTTCCAAACGCCCCCAGCGATGAGGGGACCCAGGATTCAGTGGAGAAAAGGCCCGGGGAACAAGAAGGAGCAGGAGCGGAGGTGGCTGGGGGCGGCGCGCACTCACCTTCGGCGCCGATGGACACCAACTTGACGCCTTTGCTGGCTATGAAATCCAGGGCCTTGTTGACGTTGGAGATCTTGTGCACCCTCATCTTGCCTCTCTCCGGCTTGGCCAAGCGTTCGCCTGAGTAGACGGAGAAGGCAGAAGGGAGGTGAGAGCCCCTCCCCCAGGAGCCAGGGCTACTGCTGCCAGGCCTGCCTCCCGGGCACACCTTGGGCAGGTGCAGGTGCAGGGGTGCGTGCATGCATGCATCTCTCTCTCTCTCTCTCTCTCGGGCACTGCAGAAAGCCACCCTGGTGGGAACGCAAGGGTGGGTCCAGATCTAAACCCACCTGCATCCCCTCCTCATGTGTTAGCAGGCCCCCAAACCCACGCACGCCAGGGATTTGGCTGGGTACTAGGAAGAGGGGGCTGAACAACGGCTTTTTGCCTTTACGTAATTATAGCCCAGGAGCAGAGACAGGACCTTAAACAGAGAAACACACAAATACATACATACAGTGACATTCACCAAGAAGGATCAATGCTCTTCCAAAGAGGAGGAGGAGGAGGAGGAGGCTAAGGAGGAGGAGGGAAGAACCGAGGAGGAACAGGAAGGGCCTGCGTCTCTGCAGCCGGGCAGCCGCCACAAGGAACAGAATCACAGAAGGAACAGCATGTGCAAAGCCTGTTCTGTCCTGGGGGGGGGGGGGGCGCAGGTCACCATGGAGCATTCTGGGAAAGTTCCCTGGGTTTAGATGGAGTTGCCTACAGTGTCCCCCCTCCTCATTTGAGGACAGCGCTGTTGTCCTGGGACACTGCCCCCCGCCCCGAGGAGCACCCACAGCCCAGCTCAACACCAGCCCTCAGCCCTCCTGTAGCCCTTACCGCCCCCCGCCCCCACCGCCAGCTTCCACGAAGGAGTTTCTGGAACTGTGGGCAGGCGGGTGCGGGAGCGGCTCTGCAAGTCCCCATGAAGAGCACGCTTATGCCACAGCAGAGCGCGACCAGAGACCTCTAGAAAGGACTGAAAACTCTCTAAATGCAGCTCGCACGGCCGCACCCCAGCAAGGGTGCACCGAGCTGTCAGAGCCTCTAAGGGTGCAAGGACCCCAGAACACTGAGAGCCGGGCCCTCAGGACCCCCGCGCCCGCCCAGTCTCAGCCTGGCCCAGCCACCCCCACAGCATGGCGTTGGTCCAGCAGCTGTGAGGCCGGGCCAGGCCCACCCTGTCGGAGCAGCGGCCAGCCAGCTTCTGGAAGCCGGCAGACTTCCTGCCCCAGATAGGATCTGGCTGTCAGCTCCCGGGGAAGCACAGCTGCCTTTTTATTAAATCAAGACTTTGCACTTGGAGCTCTCCCAAAGCTGAGGCCACTGCCCGGCAAAGCACCCCCCAGACCCAGGGCAGGCGAGACCCGCGGCAGAGACAGGGCAGAAGCACGATCCTCACTGGAAGGCTACTCTCACCGCGGCCCCTGTCCCCGGGCGCTGCCAAACCTGAGCTCTGTGGGCACTTGCCGGCTGGCTGTGCGTGCTGGCTGGGCGGGACCCCACCATGAGGACAGTGGACAGGGAGGGAGAACATTCCTAGGCCTGGGTCAGCGGTTCTCAACCTTTAGTGGGCACAGAATCACCTGGAGGACTGGCTCAACTCTGGACTGCTGCCCCCACCACCACCACCAGGAATCTGCATTTTGACCGGCAGACCTGCTGATTCTGATGTGGGTGGTCCAGGGGCCAGGCTTGGAGAACCTCTGCGGGTAGCATCCCTCTTCCTTCCCCTTGTCCCTGGCCACCTTCCCGCCTCCAAAGACGCTTGGGAGCAGAAGGCAGTGTCTTGCTGGCCAGATCTCCCCCAGCCACGGGAAGACACACACACAAGGGCTGGCTGACCCTCGGCTGAGGCTGCACCTGGTCGGTCACACACTGGGGGTCATGCAGCTGGGGCTCTGGACAGCCAGCCATTCTCCTGTCTCTGGAGTGTCACTCGCTTGCCACATACAGCTCTTAGCACCCAAGTCACAGAGACGAAGCCCTACCCCAAGGGGCTCAGTGTGGAGTGGGAAGAAAACAAACTGTGCCCAGAGCAAATACACTTGGGGTGGCCTAGCGGATAGGATACCTGCATCCCACATCAGAGTGCCTGGCTCCAGCTCCCCACCAATGCACAAACCTGGAGATAGTGCCGATGGCTCAAGTAATTGGGTTCCTGCCATTCACACGGGAGGCCTGTATTGAGCTTCTGGCTCCCTGGCCCAGCCCTGGTCACTGTGGGTGTCTGGGGAGGGAAGCAGCAAGTGGGAGGTCTCCCTCTCTCTGGATCATTAGTTGATTTTTATTTCATTTTTAAATATTTATTTATTTGAAAGGCAGAGAATTACAGAAAGGCAGAGGCTAAGAGAAAGAGAGAGAGAGAGAGATCTTCTATCCACTGGTTCAATGGCCACAACGGCTGCTGCTGGGCCAATCCGAAGCCAGAAGCCTGGAGCTTCTCTGGGTCTCCCACGTGGGTGCAGGGGCCCAAGGACTTGGCCATCCTCCACTGCTTTCCCAGGCCATAGCAGAGACCTGGATCAGAAGTGGAGCATCCGGGTCTGGAACCAGCACCCCATATACTACAGGTCGTGGCCACAGCGCTGGCCCCCATTAGTTGATTTTAAAAACTGATGAGACCACATGGTGAGTGACACACTAGAAGGCCACCAGGTGCAGAGACAGGCCAGGGGGGCGGGGCAGTGGAAGGTGAGGGAGGTCTTCCTGGAAGAAGTCCCAAGCTGGGTTTCTGGGTTGATTCTTTGTTATTGCTGTTGTGTGTATTTTTAAAAATTATTTATTTTATTTATTTGAAAGTTACAGAGAGAGGTAGAGACAGAGAGAGAGGTCTTCCATCCGCTGGTTCACTCCCCAGATGGCCGCAACAGCTGGAGCTGCGCTAATCTGAAGCCAGGAGCCAGGAGCTTCTTCTGGGTCTCCCACATGGGTGCAGGGGCCCAAGGACTTGGGCCATCCTCTACTGCTTTCCCAGGCCACAGCAGAGAACTGGATTGGAAGAGGAGCAGCTGGGACTGGAACCGGTGCCCATATGGGATGCTGGCGCTTCAGGCCAGGGCTTTAACACACTGCGCCACAGCGCTGGCCCCTGCTGTTGTGTTTTAAGATTTATTCATTTGCAAGGCAGACTGACAGGAGAGAGGAAGAGACAGAGAAAGAGAAAGACATCTTCCATTTGTTGGTTCACTTTCCAAATGGCCAGGAGCCAGGAACTCCATCGTGGTCTCCCATGTGGGTGGAAGGGGCCCAACCACTTGGGGCCATCTTCCCTATTTTCCCAGGTACATTAGCAGGGAGCTGAATTAGAAGTGCAGCAGCCGGGACTCGAACCGGCGTCTCAAGCAACGACTTAACCCACTGCACCACAACGCTGGCCCCCTGCACGCCGAGTTTTACAGAATGAAAGTGAGCAGCGCCCAGCTGGCTCGTTGGTTTCTACTTGGGAACTCTTGGAGGAAGAGACAGGAAAGGACTTTCTCAAAGGCGGTCGGTCAGAGGAAAACAGTGTGGCAGTGCCTCAAAAAAATGACACACAAAATTCCCACATGACCCAACAACTGCACCTCTGGGTACGTGCCCCGAAAAACTCAACACAGGGCCTCAAAATCATGTAGCTGTACGCCCAGGTCCAGGGCAGGGGGAACAAGCCAAGTGTTCATCAGCAGATACATGGACAGAGTGTGGTAACGCCTACAATGGAACATCACTCATCATTAAACAGAGAGGAAAGTCTGACACATGCTCCGACACAGCCGCACCTGGAGGACACTCAACTCAGTGAAATGAGCCAGACACAAAGGACGAGCCCTGTGCGCTCACCTGTGGAGGCCCCTGCAGTGGGCGGGGGGTGGAAAGTAGAATGGAGGGTGCCGGGGCGGGGGAGCGGGGCGCACGGGAAGTCAGTGTCCCGTGGGGACACACCTTGACTTTGGGAAGCGGAAAATGACCTGGAGCTGGACGGTTACAGGACAGCGTGACTGTGCTCAGTGCCACTGGACCGCACACTCACAAATGGTCCAAACGGTAAAACGCACACACACACACACACACACACACACAACCTGAATTTTAAAGTAAAAGGCAGTTAGCGCTTGCGCAGAGGCACGGGGAACCAGGGAGCAAGCGCACCTGGGGAGAGCCACAAGTCTCCCAGTGTGGCAGAGGGTCTGAGCTCCGATACCTTTTTGGGAAGAGTTAGTGGAAAACAAAGCAGGTGCCAGCTCCCCCAGGATCCTGCAAGCTGCTAAGGAATGCAGCCGGCCGGCTCAAAGCCCTGGGGAGGCGGCAAGGACTGTGAGCGAGGAACAGCCTGACCATATTTGGGCTGCCACGCGATCCCTGGATCCCTCTGGCCGCGGGCAGGGGAGGGGCCACAGGGAGGAGCAGCGGGGGCACTGGAGGCCTGGCTGGCGTCATCCAGGTAGGAGCTGACCCAGGCAGAGGGGTTCAAAGGAGGATTGTGAACAGGACAGAATGGGGACAGCTGGAAAGAGGAACAAAGAAAGGCAGTGGGCGGTTCCCAGATTAGGGTTAGGAGACAAGAGGGTGGTGAGGGCCAGGCCTGGTGTGGGACATCAGGGTGGATGAGCCCCCCAGGGAGGTGGTTAGGAGGGGCCTCGAAGTCCAGCTCTCTGCTATGGCCAGGGAGTGCAGTGGAGGATGGCCCAAGTGCTTGGGTCCTGCACCCCATGGGAGACCAGGAGAAGCACCTGGCTCCTGGCTTCGGATCAGCGCAGCGCGCCAGCCATAGCAACCATTTCGGGGGTGAACCAACAGAAGGAAGACCTTTCTCTCTCTGTCTCTCTCACTGTCCACTCTGCCTGTCAAAAAAAAAAAAAGGGGGGGGGGACCTAGAGGGAGAGGCCCAGGCTGAGACTGGTTCTCAGGCTCACCAGCATCAAGGAGGGAGGTTCAGGGAAGACAGTGGCCGAGACTACCCAGTGGGTAAAGCAAGGCCAGGCTCTCCGGGACCACCGGCCTTCGAGGGACGGGAGAGGCAAGTGTCCACCAGAAGGCTGGAGCCGGTCCTGCAGACCTCTGGGGAAGCGGAGTGGCTGCTGGGCAGCATGGAGCCATGATTTGGAGCTGGTCACCCCCGGTGACATCCTGGCATTTTAGAGGAAAAAGGACCTCCTAGGCCGTGCTTGAAAATCTCTTTATGAGAAAGAAAGGCAAAGCACTCATGCAAGCCACGTGGAGAGCCGGTAGCAGAGCCAACCAGAAGCAAGACCCATTCTCCTGGAATTCACGGACATCATCCCCAGCGTGTCTGCAGGGGCCCGGAGCCAAGGGCTCAGGACGGGAGCCCGGGGCCGAGGGCTCAGCACGGGGGCCGGGGGCTCAGGACGGGGGCCGAGGGCTCAGCACGGGGGCCGGGGGCTCAGGACGGGGGCCAGGGCCGAGGGCTCAGCATGGGGGCCGAGGGCTCAGGACGGGGGCCGAGGGCTCAGCACGGGGGCCGGGGGCTCAGCACGGGGGCCGGGGGCTCAGGACGGGGGCCCGGGGCCGAGGGCTCAGGACGGGGGCCGAGGGCTCAGCACGGTGGCCGGGGGCTCAGGACGGGGGCCCGGGGCCGAGGGCTCAGCACGGGGGCCGGGGGCTCAGCACAGGGGCCGAGGGCTCAGGACGGGGGCCGAGGGCTCAGCACGGGGGCCCGGGGCCGAGGGCTCAGCACGGGGGCCGAGGGCTCAGCACGGGGGCCGGGGGCTCAGGACGGGGGCCCGGGGCCGAGGGCTCAGCACGGGGGCCGGGGGCTCAGCACGGGGGCCTCACCTGAGATGACCTCCAGCAGCAGCATGAGCTTCAGGCCGTCCCGAAAGTCCTCCTCGATGTTCTCGATCTGCGTGCCCGCCTTCCGGAGGTGGGAGTTGCACCATGCCGTGAACGTCTGGGCAAAGGCAAGGACAGCAAGGGTCAGTCTCTGCCTCGAGTCACACGGGCCCCGAGACCCTCGACAAGACCCGCCTGCCTGGTGCGGTTCTGTAGAAGAGGCTGGACGGGCCAGCGGTGGCCGGGGGGGGCAGGCACGCGCTCGGTAGAGCCCACACAACCTCCGAGCATGGCCGTTCCGAGAGTCTCGCTGCACCCCATCAGCCAGGTGGTGGGCAGCAGCTGAGGTGGCCCACGCAGAGGGCACCAGCGTGATGGGTGAAGGGGCACCACCCTTAACACCGCCCTCCCAGCCCCCTCCCCGCCACATTCCCAAGCACCGAGATTCCATTCTGAACAAGTCACCTCTTAGCTTAGGCGGCTTTGTTTCACTGTTCTGCAGTTTTAAGACAGAGTAACCGAGAGGTAACATGCTGAGCCTCACCGACACCCCTGGATAAACCAGCTTATGAGAGCCTGTCCCACTTGGTGGCCAGCCGAGACAAAGGATTGTTGCGGGCACAGTTCAGAGGCACAGTGTTGGGATAGGCAGGGTAAGAATCCGTGTGTGTGTGTGTGTGTGTGTGTGTGTCTGTGTTGGGGCAGGGCAGGGACACTTCACGCTGAAGAAAGGGAACCTAAGGAAGTTAGATGCAAAGGCATCAACTTCGCAGCTTCTTTTCTCTAGGAAGGCCAACAACGACGGAACAGGACAACCACCAAGCTGTCAACTGCCAATAGCGCCACCTAGTGGCTCAAACAAGGAACAGGGTGACGCAGCAATGTCACATGTCCATCTGAAACCTGGCCCAGAGTCTCTCCCCACCCGTCTCCGTCTGCACCAGCCAGAGAAAAAAGCCCTTTTGCTTTAGATCCAAACCATTCTTGAGCAACGTCAGACCTCTCTGCACCCCGTGAAGCCACGAGCCAGTGTTCGGCTCACCCAACAACAGGGCATCGGTTTTCTTCCTAGCTGCCCTTCCAAGTCCAAGGTGGACAGCACATTCTCCATTCCCCATGGTAGCAACCAGGACAGCAGTGTTCCTCCCCCGAGGGAAGGCCACCAGACCCGTGCCCCTCCCCCGCCCTTCCTCCTTCCCTGGGGAACTCCGAGGTGAAGTGTCCACAAGTGGACGGGGGCTGGAGACAGCCCCAGCGAGTATCAGGAGGAAAGAAATGGCTGCTGGGGAACAGGGAGGGGCGACGTCACTCCGTGCAGACAGGAAGTACCAACAGCATGACACACACACACCCCCAACTTTGGGCCCTGTCTTCAAATTCATTCACTTACCTATTTATTTATTTATTATTTATGTATTTGGAAGGCTGAGAGCCGGACTGAGATCACTCATCTGCTGGCTCCCTCCACAGATGCCTGCACCAGCTGGGGCTTGGGCCAGGCCGAAGCCAGGAGAACTCCGTCCAGGTCTCCCATGCGGGTGGCAACAACCCACGTCCTTGAGCCATCCCCTGCTGCCACCCAGGGTGTGCGTCAGCAGGAAGCTGGAATCAGGAGCCCTCAAATCCGGGCACCCGGATATGAGATGCAAGCACCCCAAAGGGCATTCTAACCCCTGCAGCGAATGCCCAGCCTGGGCCCTGTCTCTAAATCGTGTCTCACAAGCAACTGACCCAGCTTGGGAGCCATCTCTCCCAGCTACAGCCACCTCTCTCTGCTGGAGGCCAGCCCACCGCCAGGACGCAGAGGCTGGGGGCGCAGATGCCACCCCAGGCTCCAGGAGGACCAGCGCACAGATCATGGGGTGTGGGCGGGAGGGGCGTATCCAGAACCTTCAGCCTGCAACGTCCTCCCAAGACAGCTTCAAGATGTGATTTAAAAGATGTTTGCTTTGCTACAAAATTTTGAGATCCGTGCATAGTTTTTCCATAATATGATTGTCTGTAAACCTTCTGGAGACCCTACGTAAGCACTGAAAAATGTGTATTTTTCAATTGCACTTGCCATGAACTTTTGGAAGTCCCCTCATAGGTCTTGTTGGGTAACTTACGCTCATCTTTCAAGATTGCGCAAAGACATCACTTCCTCCAGGAGGCCTGCCTGGGTTGGGCACAGGACCCATGGCACCCTCCGTTCATTCCGTCACTGCCTGCACCTGTCTGCCCCTCACCCCCGGACTGGGAGCCCCTGGTGCTCACCGCTGCATCCCTGAGTCACAGGACAGAGTTCAGGCTACAGCAGTGAACAGAACAGCAGGTCCCTGCCTTGCTCAGCAGGCCTTCTAGGCAAGAGCAGAAAAACTGGGCAACTGGGGGAGCAGCTGAAGCTCCCGTGACAGCCCCTGGAGATCCAGGCGCACCTCGTGGGCGAGGCTGTGTTGTACTGGGGCCAGGAGTAAAGAGGCAACAATGCACCTAGGGCCCGTGGGATGGCGGAAGACGGTGCAGATGGACAGGTGCAGCAGGGCAGGAGAGAGGTGCACCTGGCGTCCCTTCTCCAGCCCTGGCAGGCGGGGGGCGGGGGGAGGAGGGTCCCTGGCTTCCATTTCCATTGCATTCTAACTTTTTCTGAAGATCCCTCATACATTTTATTTTGGCCTTGCACCTTCTCTCCCAGCTGTCGCCCGTCCATGTCAGCTGGCCCAGTGTCACCGCACTGTCCATTTACATTGGGGCGGGGGCGCTGTTTCCATGGGCCCATGACCTACGGCTTCCTCCTGCCCCGGGAGGGGAACTGGTCAGCCTAAGCAACTCAAAGCGACAGGGTCAGGTCCGAGGTGGTTGGGGTCCCGGCGGGGGGCTGAGGAGTCTCCAGGTTAGCTGCCCCCCCTGGGGGGGGTGAGGGGTGGAGGGTGGAGGGGACTGGGAGTGGGAGGAAGGAGGAAGAGGCCACTTTTGTAAAAAGACACTGCTTTTGCAAGAGGAACCGTGCTGTTGACAGCAGCCAGCCCCATTTCCGGGGGAAGCTGGGCCCCAGGAGACAAAAACACACCTGTGTTTGCTCAGCTCTCCCGGGACAAAGCCCCGGCTCTGAGCCCTGGCTCTGAGGTTTTGCTAAGATTCTCAACCCCCCTTCCCTAATCCTTGTGCCCCACTGGGTCCTGGGTCCTGCCGATGCCCCCCAGCACCTCCAAAGTAGGCAAGTCCCCCCCGGCCTGGGCAGCAGCCCCACAACACTCAGGCATGCGCGGGAGGTCCACACGCACTATTTACTGGCTGTGTGACCTTCAGATTAACCCCCTGGAACTTCAGTTCCCTTAGCCATAAAATGGGGCTGCTCACAGCACTTCATTAAAGTCAACAGGATTAGCTCTTTTTAGTTGGAAAGGCAGAGACAGAGAGAGATATCCTGTCCCTTGGTTCACCTCCCAAATGCCTGCTGTAGCCGGGTCTGGGCCAAGCCAAAAAGCCAGGAGCCCAGAATTCAATCTGGACCTCCCACGTGGGTGGCAGGAACCCAAATACTTGAGCCACCCATCACCTGCTGCTTCCCAGGGTGCCCGTTAGCAGGAAGCTGGGATCAGAAGCAGAGGCCCCAGGGTCAGGCAAGGAGGAAAAGCCAGCAAGGCTCAGGGACGCCCACGGCCCCTCAGCCTCCAGCCTGGTGCCCTGTGTGGTGGGCAGCACGACCCCAGCGGGTTGATGGTACAGCTCCATCCACGTTAAGGCCAAGGGGTTGCCTGCCTGCAGCCCAGCCAGGCCCTGTCCTAGCTGAACTCCCTCCAGCCCCAGGAGCCCTCTGCCTCCCGGAGCCACACTAGGAAAGGATGGAGCTTCTAGGGTCCCCTCTTCCACCAGGCTGGGACGGGCTCAGAGAGTTTGGCTGGGGCTAGCTCTGTTCCCAGCAGCCTGCTCAGCTTCGTCCTGCACAGCCTGGAGGGGCTTGGACAGAGAGGGAGGAGCTGAGAGAGAACCTGGCCCCCTGCTCAATGTCTTCCTGACCCTGAAGTGTCCACCCCATCATCTGCTCTACAGGTGTTTGCGGAAGGAAAGAGCAAGTGGCCACACTCGAGCTGGGGGTTGCTAAAGGACCTGGCCAGGCTCCAGCAGGGCCAGGGCGGGGAACGGAGCTGGCCAGAGAGAGACAGAGAAGCACCTTTGTCCGTCCGTCTTCTCCCCGGGTCTCACCCTGGTCCGACAGGCTCCTCCCGGATCTTACCGGTGTCTCTTTCACAACTATCACGTCGATACATTTCTTTGAAACTGGGTTGAAAGAGTCCAGGGCTTTGGAGAGCACTCCCCAAACCCATGTCCCAGCTCAGATATTCTACAACATGACTTCAGCCACACAGGCCTCTCCGAGCCTCAGTTTTCACATCTGTGAACTGGGCTACAATAGCGTCTACTGGGTACAACTGAAAAGAATCCATAATACTGGGCTGGGCGTTTGGTCCCACATCAGAGTACCTGGGTTCTAGTCCCAGCTCCCGCTCCTGGCTCCAGCTCCCTGCTAATGCACACCCTGGGAGGCAGCCGTGATGGCTCAAGGGCTTGAACTGCTATCACCCAGGTGGGACCACAGATTGGGTTCCTGGCTCTTGGCCCAGCCCAGCCCAGCCCTGGCTGTTGTGGACATGTGGGAAGTAAACCAGTGCACCAGAAGTCTCCTCTCAAATAAATAAATACATGCCATACAGCAATGATGTTACTTCAGATTAAGAATGGTGATATCACATTGACTTTCTGAAACGCGGTTCTATGCACAGAGTGGTTCTTACCGTCACCCCCGCCATCTAAATTTTAAGATTCTAAAACGACAGCCGTACAGTCAGACCCAGCTGGTATCTGGGGAACAAGGACTCCCCCACAAGCAGGAGTCAGAGGCTGAGCCGTTAAAATCAAGTGTCACTCCCAGCCTCGATCTGCGTGGGAGGCGGGGGCGGGAAAGGCAAGAGGCTGGGGCACTGGGAGGTGCCAGGCTGTGCCCGGATCGCTCTGCAGAGCAGGAATCCACAGGAACGGAAGGGTCCACTCCCTCTAAAGAAGACGGCGCGGATCCCAGGTCTTGCAGGCTGGGTGAGTGACCTGACACGGCTCTGCCTCAAAGCACTCTCTGGTAAA